GTTAGTTGCAAAGTCGTGTCCAACCCAATGTGATCCCATGGACAACGTTCCTCCAGGCCTTCCTGTCCTCTACCATCTCTGGAGTCCATTTAAGATCACGCCGACTGCTTCAGTGACTCCAGCCAGCCACCCAGGGGTTTTACTTACCTTTGCTACCAGTTTGCTCAAGCATGCACGCTTCCTTCACTCACGCATGCGCCCCGTTTGTGCATACACAGAAGCTTCTGCGCATGCATAGATCGTATTTGATGACGTCCGGGTGGGTAGGCAGAGCCTCCCGCCGCTGCCACCAGTTCACCCGAACCGGGGTGAACCGGTAGCAACCCACCACTCATCCACCTCGTTCTCTGTCATCCCCTTCTTCTTTTGCCCTCAATCTTTCCCAGCATTAGGCTCCAGTGAGTCCTTCCTTCTCATTTGATGACCAAAGTATTTGAGTTTCATCTTCAGGATCTGGCCTTCTAAAGAGCAGTCAGGGTTGATTTCCGCTAGGATTGACCAGTTTGATCGCCTTGCAGTCCAAGGAACTCGCAAGAGTCTTCTCCAGCACCATAGTTCAAAGACCTCAATTCTTTCAGCCCTACTGTTCCTTTTTGGGGAGATATATCAATGTCACAAGAAATACATAAAATCATTTTTTAATAATAATAATATATATTGTTTGAAATCCAATTTACAAAAATCCAGTATTCTCAGTAGACTACAGGATGACCCAATGAATACATTAGGGCAGGAAATTTATATACAATTAAAACTAAGGAAGTCAGATATTGTACATAATACCTTACTTGTGCAGAGAAATAAAAATTGTGTATGTGTATGTGATAACAAGAGAGAGCTCAAAATTTGAATGCATTCTAGCTAATGGCTGAAAATTCTCATAATAAAAAAGCCTTTGCTTCTTTTCTCTGAACTTCCCTTGGATCTCCCTTTATATATCTACATCTTTATTAAGTTTTTAAAAATAAAGGGTTAAAAAAAAATAACAAGAAAGTAATAGTCAAGAGAGAGAATAGCTAGAATAAAAAAATAACAGACTGAGGTTCAATAAAATAAAAAATATAAAAATAATGACTTTCAATTTCTGTTATACATAAAACTCAAACTTAACTCTTGTTCTGCAATTATAGCACAGCGTTTATTTTTTATAATCTATAAATATTACTTATATACTTTCATATGTGAAACTATGAAATATGTATGTGGTATTTCATTTTTTGGTTCATGCAAAAAGTCTCAAAAGGGGCTTCCAATTGGTATTAAATAAAGCTCCATTAGCTTTAACAACCACTCTTCCATTGTAGGTATCAATATATCTTTCTAGTGTTGAACATATTGAAGTCTTGAAGGTATTATCATATGAGAACAAAGTACTATGATATTTTCCCAAGTTTTTGTTAATAAACCCTAACAAAAATGTCTCCAGTCTAAACTGTCTATTGACTTTCACATTTTTTTGACTTAAAATTATATATTTTAGGCCAATAATTGTTACCTTTTTATAATCCACCAAGTGTGGCAATAAGACCCTTCTGGTGTTTACATTTCTGACTTTATACATTTTTGACAATATTTCTAGCGATAAATACATCATTTTACAGACATTCTCTTTAAGACTGTAACAGCTAGTATATCAATTTTTTAATTTTCTCAGTAATAATTCTATCCTTTTTCAACAAGTCTTCTAACACCAACACATCATCTTCAGATGCTCTCAATTTATGAATTTTTAAATGTTAACCCCTATTATCCACTCATTTTGCCCTAACTTCCAAAACCAATCTAAATACTTGTGGGAATAATGGGCACTCGTCACGTTCCTATTTGAATTTCACAGGATGATGCTCGATCTCCATTTACACTTATTGATTTAATTCCAGCTGTTCACCGGAGCTATTGACACACCCCACTTCCAATTCAGGAAGATTCTTGCTTTGGTGTCCTGTAGTTCTAAAGAACAAAATGTTTTTTTATTCCAAAGGCGTAGGCTGTTGGGGATATATATTCTTTCTAGACTAGCAAAGTCTTTCCCATTGAAGATGTGTATTGAAACTCAGATACTGGCAGTATGCACGCTCGTTAGTCTCAAAATCTATTATTGCGATAGGAAGAAACCAATTTTAATAAATTAGAATGAGCAGGAAGAAAATATTGAGAGTTCACTTTATTAGGCTTTTTTATTGAAAACATGGGTGAAGAGGTTTTTACGAAAAATATTTTCTGTAAAGGAAACTGAACTAGAGAGAGAACTAAAGATAGAACTGTCTAAATGAAAAAGAAACAAAAAGGCTAAATCAAATTTATTGATAGGTGACAATAACCTAGAAATAGAATAACAGGGTTGGAAGGAACTTTGGAGGTCTTCTAGTGACTAGAATCTAATCTAACCTCCTGCTCGAGAGGCGACCCCGTGTTTCACACAAATGATTGTCCAACCTCTTCTTGAAAACCTCCAGTGATGAGCACATACAACTTCTGGAAGCTAAACTAAACTTTAGCTAAACTAAGGAAATAAAGAATGGAATTGCAAGCCAACCCTGATGTGCAAGCTGACAGACAAGGACAAATTTGAAGGGTATGTCGTTCTGAAGATATGATATGTAAATGGAACATATATATAGTTAATTAAAAATTAAAATAACTGGCATTATTTTATATAAACTTGAAATTTAATATCCCCAGCAATATCCCCTACAATACAATGATTGTAGCTTTGGTCCATTATTAGCTTATAGGAAAGCAATACTCTGCTTTGATCCTAAGAAATAGGACATTGTTCATTTTGCAACACCACTTCAGAGGCACTTTAAGAAAGCTTTGATAGAAATAAGAGCCACCCGTCCAAGAATTCCAATTATAATGTATGTTGGCACTAATATTTCTAAGCCCTGTGCTGCTGTAATAGCCGTTCGATATTCTATTCACATGCAAAGAAATTTCCTTTACTATTGGTAGACAACTTGTACTTAAATATGCTAGAGCTGTGATGGTGAACCTATGGCACGTGTTCTAGAAGTGGCACGCAGAGCCATCTCTCCAGGCATGTGAGCCATTGCCAGTTGGTTTTCCGGATTCCGGTGCACCGGCCAGCTTATCTTCATGCACACGGGAGCGCCAGAAATTGGAAGAGCAGCCACCCGGTGTGCATGCGCACACCGGGAAGATGATCTTCCGGTTTCTGGCATGCGCATGCATACCGCCCAGCTGGTCTTTGCACATGCATGCACACCAGAAACCGGAAGCCCAGGTGGCCAGCTCTCATGCACGTGCTGGAAACCAGATCATGCACAACGGGGGGCTGCTCTTCCAGTTTCTTGCACACGTGTATGTACGCATCCCCATTTCAGCACTTGGTGCTGAAAAGGTTCGCCAACACTGTGCTAGGGTATTCTCTGATTTGTGAATTTTCTCAATTTCTTATAATTGGTGGAGTCTTTACCATATATGACCCAAAGTTTCAACAACTGCTGTACCATTTTCACTGCCATATAAACTTTTTGTTGCACAAAATGAAACCATCAGAATTCTAAAAAATAATGCTGCATTTTATGTGTTCTAATTCTCCAATCCTTGATTTAAACTTCTAGTCCTCTCAGAATTTGAAAGGACTAATAATACATATAACTGATCTTCCCATCTGGAAACAGAAGCGTTAAGGTGAAAAAGACTCATGCTTCAGAATGTTAGTATAGTATGATATACAGGTAGTCCTCAACTTACAACGGTTCATTTAGTGACCATTCAAAGTTATAATGGCACTGGAAAAAGTGATTTATGACCGTTTTACGCACTTAAGACCGTTGCAGCATCCCCAGGATCATTGGTTCAAAATTTAGATGCTTGGTAACATGTTTATGACAGTTGCAGTGTCCCAGGGTCATGTGATCACCGTTTACAATCCTCTGATAAGCAAAGTCAATGGAGAAGCCAGATTCACTTAACAACCGGATTATTAATTTAACAGCTGCAGTGATTCGCTTAATAAATGGGTAAAATGGGCTAAAATGCACTTAACAACTGTCTCATTTAACAACAGAAATGTTAAGCTCAATTGTAGACGTAAATCGAGGACTACCTGTATAAACTAAAGGAAGAAAACAGTCTGAAATGTAATTGAAATTACACTGCTTTTAAATGTTAAAGTATTTAACATTTCAGCTGTTTCTTTTCTTTGCCTCTTATCTGCAGTTACGCATAACAAAGGGTAGCCATAACAGGAAGTGAACTTGATGTTCCTGTTCTTTCTATTTAATGTTTAAATCTATGGTACAGAACCCAACAGATCCCTTTCTTGGGATCTCCAGTTATACAGGTAGTCCTTGATTTACAGCCACAATTGAGCCCCAAAGTTACGTTAAGTTGAGAAATTTGTTACGTGAATTTTGCCCTATTTCGCAACTTTTCTTGTCACCTTTGTTAACTGAATCACTGCAGTTGTTAAGTTACTGACACGGTTGTTAAGTGAATCTGATTTCCCCATTGACTTTGCTTGTCAGAAGGTCGCAAAAGGAGATCATGTGACTCCAGGACACTGCAACCATCATAAATGTGAGCCACTTGTCAAGCATCCGAATGTTAATCATGTAAACATGTGGACGCTGCAATAATCGTAATTAAGAAAAATGGTTGTAAGTCACTTTTTTCTGTGCTGTTGTAACTCAGAGCAGTCACTAAATGAATTGTTGTAAGTCAAGGACTACCTGTAGTACCACTGATGAAAGATTCCAGTCTCTGGATCTCACACTTTTGTGCGACTTTGAGGCAAGAGATCTCAAATATAGTACAAGCCTTGAGATAGGATTAATGATTTTTTTGAAACACAGAAATCCAAACTCCCTTAAATTTGCTATTCAAGTTTTTTTAAAAACATCTGAATCCAAAAATAGTTTTTGTCGATAATTTATGAACACTTATTCTTAAACTGTGACATGACATTGCATATTGAAGATTTTCCATTTTCCCTCCCGAGACCCATTCTTCCGATATGCAGAGAAATCAAATGATGATAATTATTTTATTATACATTTACTTGATAAATTATCTCTCTGGGAATAGGTCATACACAGTAATATTGCCACAATTTATAATTACAGGATTACAATGGATTCTTATAATAAAACTTGGGCTTTCTGGCTTTTATACAAACTACATTATATTTGCCAGTCTAATTCGAGCCTTTGTTGTCATTATTCAGTTATGACTAAAATAATATTCCACATACAACTGACATCTGATAGTTGGCACATATTTTTGTCTGTGAGATACAGTACAATATTTAAAAAGGAAGATTTCATTAAAAGAAATAAGCATTACAGATACATAATTTTCTTTGTCCATCTATGAAAGTCCCAGAAGTTGACAAAGTACAACTCAAATGTATATATTTTAATATATGTGGTGTTTCATATCATATTTGCATCAAAATCATTTTGTAAAAACAAAACTATATGAAAATACATTCAAAGATTTAAAAATATAGGAAAATATTCATAAAGTTCAAAAGATTAACTATAAGACTCTTTAATCTGCTTCAGTTAAGAGGCTGGAAAAATTAATACACCTTGTTATATCAATATGGTTCAATTATCCACTCATTTCCTTACTGCACAGTAAATTCTTTACAACCAAAGAACAAATACACCTAGGATCAGTTCAGTACATCTGTACAATCCTCCTTGATTTGATAAAGGGAATCCCTTTATAATCTAATCCACAATTTAAATGCAGGTCTAGGGTATCTGCTGTTCTAAAATGCTACTATGGCTAGAAGGCATTTGTTTATTCATTTTAATTCCAGAAAACCAGAACCATAAATCCTTTTGTCTCACTCAAAGCATGACTGCATTTTCCTTGTGGACAGAACACTTAGCTATCCTATATGAATAGCAAAGTTCTGGATTGGATTAATTTTTTAAAAAAATCAATGAATATATTATATTTTCCTGTACATTGGTATACTTCCTGTATTAATTTTATATAACTTTGAAATATGTCTAGCTTGGGTGGGAGGTGGGAACTCAGAAAACTAAACGTTTATCTCTTAAAACTGATTTGATTCTGTTTTTAATTGCTTCCTTTGGCAATGAGGGGACAGTGATAAAATAATCTCCCTTTACATGAGGCAAGTTATTTTAGTTAAGAAAAATCCAGACCATCCCCTCTAGCATAAGCTAAAAGGAAACAAAAAAGGGAGTGTGGATTTATTCCAGGAAACAGATTGGCTAATACTACAAAGATCTGGCCTTCAATCCTCTTATATTAGTTCTAATGACATATCACCTTTCGTTTTAAATATTTCAATAAAATATAGAACTCAGGAGGTAGGGAGATAAAGCAGACATCAGACATTTGAAAAATGCAATATACACATGTGCTTAAATATTTTAAAATTAGAATTCAGCATGCTTAATTTTTCTCTGGATTACATAGTTCGAGAGACTATAAAGCAACTTCCACCCAAATGGACACCATTATTCTTCCACAATCCACAATATATATAAAAGTATATGCTTTGTATCCAGAGCACTTTGAGCTCATATTGGCTATATTAAATATGGAAAAGGATCTAGAATTCGTATCACGAAATATACATACAATGAAATTGTTATGCTTACAAAGAACACCTATTTTCTCCAAGCTTTATATGAACCTCAGAAAGAATTTGGTTATGAGTTTTAGGTAATAAGTGTTAACATAAATATATATTTTATAGTCAGCATGGGTACATGAGGCTTATTTTTTCCACAAAAAGCTAATGGATGATACCATCTTAAAACATAGGTTTTAAGGTTTCCCTTCACATGGGAAAAAAGTTCTGCATTTCAGGAAGGAAGGATGCATGCCTAATTCTCTCTCCTGTATTTTCTGTGGAGTGTTTTCATATGGAGAAATATTATGACACATAAAACTGTACTAGGGACAAGGAGAAAAAGCTGCAAGTACAGCTGAATGTGAGACTTTCCACTCTCAAAATGTTACTCTGTACATAAAATCTTTCTGCAGGTATAATTCTTTTTTCAACTATAAATATGGATATTGCCAATTTTAAATTAAGGCTGTAGCAAAACCATGTCAATGCAATCTAAGCTTAAAATATGTAGCAATGAGAACATCTATTTTTCATCTGTTCAGTTAAAAATAATTTAATTTTTAAAAAAATCCTTGTGCTGTATCCAACAAACAAAAGAATTAAAACCCCACACACAAATGCAAAATCTATGTGAACTTTAATAACTAGCCCAACATCTTGTGCTACAGGAATAAGGTTAACTCCTACCTTCTGATTTGCCAATTACATCTTAGAAATTACTTCTTTTATTTTACTGATTATGTGGACGAAAGCAAAAAGCCATGCATCGTTAAGTAGCAGGCATCCAGGGACAAATTAATTCCAATGCTAAGTTAAAAATTAAATTGCTCAAATAAAACAAATGCCAATTGTTTTAAAAGCCAGAAGCATTTATTGTTTTCAAACTGGGTTGACTGCAGTTTATCTGCTTTAGCAAAACCCCAAGGTGAAATAACCCACCATGTTCCTTTTAAATAAGCCACAGTAGTTTGCTCCTTCATGTACCAAGAATGTCTCAAGGCAAATGTGTCCTCGTAATTTCAGAGTCAGAGAGTCCATCTTCTTGAAGACAAGGCTCATAGTCTCCAGCATTATTTGCCAAATCAATATCTGGCTCATCATTGCTCTCAGCGCTATAGTCCACTTCTTCAAGGAAGCGAGGTTCATCTTCTTCTAGAACATAAGTAGTGGGGCTACAGCAAACATATTAAACGCTCTGGTTAATTAAAATGGAATGTAATTCACAGGAAATGCAACCATTTAATATAGATATCATTTGCTATTTACACATTATTCCTATCGTTAATTTCTTTCTCAGGTAGGAATGTCAAGTTTGGGAAAATAACATTTATATACTTGTATACTCACAACTGTATGTTTTATGCTGAATTGAATTAATAAAAAAAAAACCCAAATACTAGGGATGACTAAGCACAACTGAATTTTAGAAAGCTAACCAAAATATTTTTTCAATAGCACCAATTTCTTTCACAGTATTAGGCTTTCTTCATGCTACAAGAGACAATTTTCTTCGAAAATAATTTTTTATAGAAGAGGAATAATTGTAAAAGCTTATTTAGTTTATTACAAAGTCAATCCTACCTACCTTACCCCACCTCCCAAAGTTTATTCATTGGGAGAAAATGAAAATAATGCAGGTAGGCAGAGATCGAGTTTGGTGTAGTGGTTAAGGCACCAGGCTAGAGATATGGAGACCTAATATTATAACATGATCTTGGACATGAAGACAGCAGGGTGACCTTGGGCCAGTCACTGTCTCTCAGTCCTAGGAAGAAAGCAATCGCAAATCATTTCTGAAAATCTTGTCAAGAAATCTGGAGGGACTGGTTTAGACAATCACCAGGAGTCAACCCTGAGTTGAAGGCGCACGTGCGCGCACATACACACACACACATTTCATATTGCTGTGCCTCCAAAACAAAAAGCATTAAAATATTTCAAATGAATAAATGAACCCACTATTCTCCAAAGCTCATAGTAAGATACTCCAAAATGAGGTTCCATTTCAAAGCATTTTTGGCACCATTGACCTAACATTACATTTCACCAAAATTTATCTCAGGATTTCATTGTAATGTAAAGCTTAACCTGTAACCAGTGGTGGGTTCCTCCCTGTTTGGCCGAGCCGGTAGTGGTGATGATATGATGTCACTGAACTGGTTCTTTGTTCGGGTGCTGGACCCTCCTGCCCCCCCCTCGCGTTATTCTTACCTTTTATTTGGCCCCACCCCCAATCTATTGCTGCCTCCCGAGTCCCAGCTGATCGGCTAGAAGGAAAAAAACTGTTTAAACTCTTGCCGCGGGGTTTCAAAGAGCCGCCCTACAGCTGATCAGTGTTAAAAGGCAGTGTGGTGGTAAACCGGTGCCTCCAAGAACGAATGAGTAGACCAGGGCCTCCAAAAATGAATGAGTAGACCGGTACAGCTCAGCAAGCAGTTAAAAGCCTGGTAGACCAGTACCTCTGCTAAATCCTAAAGAATTGTCACATGACCATCAAGCCACGCCCACAGAACCGGTAGTAAAAAAATTTTAGAACCCACCCCTGCCTGTAACGTTAGGTATTAAAAGAGATTCAAGATTAGAAAACAATTATATCGTATCTCGCGAAGTTTATATTTTAGAATTTAAGTAGTTGACCACACTCATCTATCTAGATCAAAACAGTGTGTGTTTACTGCAGTACAGGTGCTGGCCATTCTTCACGTGTATGCATAAACACAACAATGTAATCCCTTGGCTACAGTTTGCAAGCAATAGTTTGATTTCTAGATACAGATTCCTATTTCATTAATTTATTTGGAGTTAATTTACAATAAAAGCTACCTGCCACTATAGTCTTTTTTTAAAAAAATCCAAATAAGTCTCTGGTAAAAATTTTAAAAATGATTTTTTTCTACCTTGTCACTTTGCAACTAGATTCAATCAATTCATTTTCAATGTCCAAAAGAGTAGATGGCAGATTATATTCCAGTGGTGATGTCAACTTTTTCAAACGCAATAAACCAGTACAGAATTTGGCTCCCATCTCTTCCAGTTCACGTGTCCCGATTTGTAAGCCCTAATGAGAAAACATACAGCATTAAACAGTTCAGTGCAATTTGGTTTCTGCATGTATACAGTTCACTATTTACTCATAACACGTAACTGAAAGAAAAGAAGAGGTAGCAAATGCTGCCAATACTTTTAATATGTTCAACTTCCTGCACAAAATGGGAACATTTAGAGGGGGATTCTTTGTGAATTTAACTGGATGTGTTTAAAATCCTCTCCAACATAAAAAGATTGTGGGCAGAAATGGAGGAATGGCATATGAGTCCCCAATTCTCTGCCATGTACACTTCAAATGAGCAACACTGCATAATACTTTTCAGTTCTATCCCCATCCCTCCCCTGGCTTCCCATGACTCATGTGCTGCTTGCACTGGTCCTCCCAGGTTTCCTGTGACTCACACATAGTCTGCACCAACCCTCCCCTAGCCTCCCATGAATCCTGCACCAGCCTTCCCCATCTCTCCCCTAGCCTTCCGTGACTTATGTAGAGCCTGGACCGGCCCTCTTGAGCTCTCGCCCCCTCCACCCGCTCCTGCAGCAATTCCTGGTGATACCCCTGTGTTCTTTATCTAGGACCCCCTCTTCCTGCTTAATAATGCATACATTTTGAGATTGCCGCAGCAACCAGGACAGCCCAAAATTGCCATCATTAAGTGATACAGTCACGTAATGTCACACTTTGCCACTGCATCACTTAGATGCAGATGCACTTAGATACCCGTTCTTATTACCATTATAACCTGAGGACTACCTGTACCACAAAGAATGCTTTTTAAGGAAAACAGAAACCATGGTTGAATAACTTTTATGGCCAAATGAACACAAGGGCATCTTCCATATTCTAGACTATATATGAATGATATGTGAATGCACATTCTAGATTATATGTGAATGGTTTTCTTCATTAGAAAAATGCTAACTATTTAGGATTCTGTTCATTAAATTACATGATGTGCAAGAACTGACATAGTTCCGAGCTCCTTTGAAATGAATTCAAGTACTAGACAGTACCAATTTAATTCTTCAGATGCATTAATATAAAATGCTACTTTACCTTGTATTTCCCTTGATCACATCCACACAATGTGCTTTCCATGGTGTAACTTCTTTGAACACCTATCTCTCTCCATACTACAACGCGTGCTGTAGACTCCTTCGATTTTTCCACGACAAAACTGCAGCTGCTCATACTGAATGCTGGCGCTGCCTGGCTCAGAATCTTAGGGAGAGTCTACCAGAAATAAGCAATAACAAACATTATAGAAAAATTCTGCGTGGTTTATATATCCTTAAAATATAAATTTGGGTGCCACAGATCTGAAGAATACTACAGGTATCTCCCTCTGAATGATAAGGGAATATATTGTATGTCAAGAGGAAGTGCAAATTACAAAGCAGTTCTGCATGGTGAGTGCAGAACCAAAGATGGAATAGCTCTGATATCAGAAAGCGTGCCGTCTGTCTAGATACTGGAAAATCTATGGACTTTGTTATGGCATGGTATTTTTTGAAGATTTCTGAAAATGCTTTTTCTTCACACACTGGTGGCCACTAACATAGATTGCTTTAAAAGGAGATTAGAGGACAGGCATATCAAGGATTATTAACCTTGAAGACTTAAAGTTACTTCTGAGTAGGAGAAGGATAGTCATCCAAATGCCATATGTAGAGAAACAAATAAGAATCCGTTTCCAATTTATAAGCATATGACTAACCAAAGTGAGGCCAAAATGCCAGACTAGAATGAGTCTTGGTTGAATATAGCTCTTAAGTTCCTTTCCTTTAAACTCCAAGCTAGATGAACTCTATCCAATTAATGACTTACACTATATTTTAGACTGATTATTATTCCTCTATACAGGATTCTTCTTTTGCTTCCATGTGAAATCGATGTATACTGAATCAGATATTAGTTCATCTATCCCAGTGATTTCCTGACTATTTAAGCTCTCCCAGCAATTAGATACTGATTTTATTGTGCGATTATAAATTCATTAGCCTTTGGGGTGTCTTTGCTTGGTTATCGTAATCTGATTGTTCATGGTACTGAAGATACTGGCAGTTTTAAATGAAAACTCTGGAATATAAAATAAATACTCTGAGCTGAGTTTTAGTCATGTTCCCAAATTTTTTTGTTTAAATATTAGTCAGAATTTAACCTCTGTTTACAATACTGCTAGCAAACTATTATTCAATTAAAATAGTACTGATAAAAGAAACACAAACCATAAACCCTAGGCATGTATCTGCCTGCATACACATACAAACATCTACTTACCCTATAACCAAGGTCTTCAATCAGATCACAAGAGGCAGCACTAACATTAGTATGCCATATTGTTTCCTTGATGCTACAGCCATACATAAATACATTTTTCTTGCGAGAATGACCATGATAGTCACAAAAAACCTATAAAAAGTATTTTTTCAAAAATTAAAGGTGCACATAAAACATAAAATGCAATTCAGATATAACAATCCATATCTGATATATAACCATTTATCTAGAAACAAGCAATAAGATCCTTTAGAAAATGAATGCATTCAGTGACACGAACCCTTGACTAAAATCTTCCAGTGGATGTAATTTAAATTATTTGTATTAACATTTTAAAAAGAATTTTTAATAAACAATTTAGATCAAGCTTGTCAGTTATAATTCTTCACAAATTTCTTGAAGAATATAATTTCAGGGGGTTAAATGTGAATTTACAACTCAATATAGTGTTCTACACCATTAATGAAGGCATATTTTGTTTAATTTTAAATAAAATTTAAAAATCAAGTCAGGAAATAGTACATAGTACTGATTGTTCATATATCTACTTCTTTCACATTTTTAAAATGATAAATATATGAATATTTATATTCTTAGATGAATGGTCCTATAATAGGAGCTGAATTATTCCTGCCATATTTCATGGTTACTGTAACTAATTTCATTGTTATTAATTTTTCTCCAGCACAGTTCTAAAACCACCAGTAACATGGGCAAGAAAGCAATTCCTTAAGCAATACTTTTACAAAGAATTAAAGTTGAGGGAGTTTTTAACTGCCATTATCTGCACATCCTTTAAATGTAAAGATTACATTTTAAGTGGTTTTTCTCTTAACTAAGGAAACACATACTTACCAATGGCAAACGTTTTATAGCTGCCAAATATTGAAGCAGACCTTTGGCATGATAAATTGTGGGGTGCAGATCTGGGTTTGGGTTTTGCCATTGTCTATTCAAATCCTCCCCACTTAAGGAACAACGATGACTATAAAACAAAAATTTAAAAGTCTTCTGTTATAACTATTTCATTCTCCAAGAAAATGAATGTTAAAATTTGTATGGATGTTAACAACTTCACTGCAAGTGTATCAAGGTAAAGGAATTATTCTAAAGCAGGGATGTTCAACATTGGCAACTTTAAGACCTGTGGATTTCAACTCCCAGAATTCCCCAGCCAGCATGACTATAGGTCTTAAAGGTAACAAGGTTGGACCTCTTGATCTAAAGTGTTGTTTCAAGCATTTAATATTTTAAGTTAGATAAACTGAATTAAATTGGTGGAAAGCTAACACCCCTGTATTCCGTATTCTTTTGTCAAACCACTCTTGACAAATGGTCCCAACAGCAGACACTGTTTTAAACTGTAAATAGGAGAAAATAGTTTTTCATTGATTTACTTTCTGGTTTCTACCAATTTTATGTTTTTTCCTTTTGTTTTTGTATTATAGCTGGAGTGGCATTTCAGAAAGTGCTCATTTGCAGAAAAAGTTATCCTTTATCTCATCAGCCTTACATTCAGACTTACTGAAGTTTATAATAGAAACAGTGAAATCGCAGGACCTTTATAATGTTTACTGATCTCACAGCGTACACACTAAGCATTACTAAATCTGGATTTACCAATCATTTTTAAAATTACAAATTGCATTGTTTTGAAGGTGTCTGATAGATTTTGAAAGGTCAACTGAAACTCTCAATTATGTAATATTGAAAATAGGAATCAACTCTTTAATTCTCAGAGCGATTCAGATTCTGAATAAATGAATAAAGACAAGTGAATTGTGTCATTTAGCTTTCCATGAAATTTAAATCAGAGAGATAGATGCTCTTTGATTGTGTGAACTTCAAAGCATGACACTACCGTGTTTCTCCAAAAAGAAGTCTGGGTCTTATTTTCTTTTGACCCCCCCCCCCCAAAAAAATGACTAGGTCTTCTTTTTGGAGGGTTCTAATTATTGACTCACCTCGCGGCGGTGGCACCAATAGCCCCGCCCAGCAGGAGCCCGCTGCTGGCCCACTTCTTCTGCGGCCGCTTGCCGCCACTTGCACGCATCGCCCAGGCCTCTGTTTTGCTTTTAGATGCCTGCCAGAAGACATCTGCAGCCGATAACAGAGCTCTGGATTGATCCAGAGCTCTGTTATCGGCTGCAGATGCCTTCCGGCAGGTGAAGGTGAAACGGAGGCTGGGGCGATGCATGCGAGTGGCGGCAAGCGGCCACAGAAGGCAAGGCAGGTGTCGGGGTGTGCGAGGCCTGGTAAATAGGGCAGCTCCATGCCCCCATCCTCACCCGAGCTTATTTTTTACCTGTGTGCCCCACCCCCTGCACCCTGGGATGGGCGTGGTCTTAATTAGGGCTAATTTTGTGGGTCGGGCTTAATTTGATTGCATGCGCTCAAAAACATGATAGGCTTTTCAAGGTGGGTCCTCTTTTTGGAGAAATACGGTAGATACTGCAAAAGATATTTATACCATGGAAATGAAAGAAACACAAGCCCTCTGATTCTGTAGAAAACAAAAAAGAAGGCGGTTTTCCTCAGCATTATAAATAAAGTTAGGCCATTTCAGGATAAGAGAAACTCTGCTGGACCTTGTCAAAGCTCAGCAGATGAGGCTTCTGCCTTAGAACTGAACAGTTCATTATTACTTTTAAACAAAAGACAGCTGTGTTAAGTGTAGCAGACTTGGCTGAAATCAGTCTAATAACATGAGGGTTAGAATACTTGGCTTCAGTCAGCCCAGGGGAGAAATTATGCAGAGAATAAATCCCACTGAATTGAGCAGAATATACAAAGGATTATACTTAAATTTTAGAGTTATTAATACAATAAAGAGCAAGATCCATGAAAGGAAATTCTATAGATTCAAGAGTAAAAATGTGCTTTATATTAATAGCTATTTGCCTAGACGGATATTATCTCCTACTGAAATTCCCAGATTTAGCTGAAATAGTTTTTAATGTTGTAACAAGCCTCACACAATAGCAGAAAAATGGACTTTTCTGATTTACCTGTCACTGACAAAGAAAACAGATTGTACTAAGAACTTCCCTGAGGAATTGTTAGTACATTTTGCCCATTGAAGTCAGCCTTTACTGCAAATGTGATTGGAACATTCTATGGGTTCTTGGGATTTAATAGAAAACTCAGTAAAAAAAAACATGATTTCAACAATTTTTTAAATTAAAAAAATAGGCTGTATCCTGTTTTGCTTTTCCAGACAAGATTTGTAAGCATATAATAATTTATAACCAGAATGCTCATTCCACTGCTCCCTCCTCCCTTTGTCCATTCAAAGATAAGCAAGGTGGCTTGAGATTTTTCTGCAATGGAACTGAACTTTTGTCTATTCAATTGTGTAGCCCAAACTTCTCTATGCATATTTATGCTTTATATTTAATACTCTTAATGTGTATGAACCCTCTGTAGTTCTAAAAAATACTGCTATCTAGAATTAAAAAAAGGATTTAAAGATGCTGCCAGCAATTTCTGTCTTGTCAGTTTAACAGCTTATTTTCTGTCATCTTCAATCCTCACCAGAGATCATCTGCAAAAGGTGGACCAAGTCCTATGATGGGTTTTGGTATACTTTTCTGGAACATATCAACATCTGCTTCAGATGTTTTCCACCACCCTGTAAGCAGTGTAACACTACCCTGTCCATTATAGGATTACCAGCTGTTTATAAGCATTCTGTCAGAATAACTATGCAAACAAATCAAAAAATAAACTCCATAGGAAAGCTGAAATGTGTTAATACTGTATTGGCAATACTAATATAATATTATGAGTCTAGCTGTGCTTTATTTTCCCACCTACCCACCTCCATACTCATATGAATTAGGGTGATTCTGTTTGAGCCGTTTGCTCAAACCTTTTACTTGTTTGGAGCTTAAACCACATTTTCCCTCTTATCACTTTGGTAACAGATCTGGCCTATCAATATTGAGATTTTCTTTCTAACTTTTTCGAGACCAGGCCAATTTTCAACAGCCACCACTATCTAGATCAGCATCTTGGTAACTTTAAGATATGTGGACTTCAACTACCAGAATTCCATGAATGAATGAATGAATGACTCCGCTTACATTTGTCTCTTTAGGATATCACTTTACAGGGTCCTTTGGTAATTTTAAGACTCACTTCTGATGCCAACCTCATAGCACTTATTCCTCTTCTAATCTTAGCATTCCTTATCGGCTAAGTAGTAAAAAGCACTCTTTCATTTTCCTCGGATTGCTACATAAAAAAACAGCAGGAAGCCATCCCTGAATGCAGGTTGTCAGAAGGAGGAACAGTAACAACACTGCGCTTAACAATAGCTGTATCTTCATTTGGGATGAGTTAACATTATATTTGATTTAATTACACCATAAAGTGTCGTACAGTACGATTACCTTTGGTTCAATAATTGAAAATGGGAAACTATTATGGAAAGTAGATTTTGAACATGTACTTAAAATGCTATTTTAAAACAAAATTGGACTTACTAAAAAGTATAAATCCACATATGTGAGTGAAGAAAAGTAACTGTTCAGTTAAAATAACATAGCTGTATTAGCCAGTGAAGATTCTAGAAGATAACATTTTGCAGAAAAGTTCTGATCTAGAAAAACTATATTTCAAGTACAGCTACCTCAGGATAACTACAGCAGAATGAACTCTGTTGCTAAATGCAATCAAAAACTTACTTTCCATTGATGACCCCATCAGGATTAAGCATTGGTACAATTTTAAAAATATAGGACTCTCGTAAACTCTGGGCACCAGGAGTATTACTCGTAAGATACTCCAAAGTTCCCTTCATAACCCAACTTGAATTTGTCTCTCCAGGATGTACACGCGCAGATAAGAAAATATAAGGACGATTTCCTAAAAACAGCACAAATAAAATAGCATGATATACCATCACTGAGTTGGAAAGATCTTAAAAATATACTAGAACATCCCTGACAGATTAATCATATTACATCTGCTTGTTATAAATTCATAAAGATAAAATATTTTAGCCTTCCAGTCAGCATAATAGTTTATGAAAGCACAAGGTATAATCAGCATAATATTATATCACAATATTATAATCGGTACAATGTTCCTTGAACCAATTCAGTGGAAGAGGGAAGAATCTGTTTGCACTCGCATTAATTTAAAATTCCACTGAATTTTAAATTTTGTGGCAAGGTTACAGCTAATTTTGATACTACTTGCTATAATACTTTTGCTCCAAGTCTATAGCGTTTAGAGTGGACCTCTCTCTCTCTATCGTGAAAGAGGCTTATCCACACAGAGTGAAGTGTGTAATTGGTTTTCGTATTCTTTCACAAATATCACAAAATTGCCACCTAATCCGACTGTTGCTGAAGCATATCTAAAACTTTCATTCCTCAAATTAACAGAACGGTTGTGACCAATGTTTTCTGTTGTGTGCCAATGAATTATTATAGCAAAACAGTAGAAAATCAAAGGAAACACAGGTTTTATTTGATTTGAAACTTTCTGAATATAATCAAAAGGAAAAGGCCATACTTACTGAACTGACAAATATGTTCATAGTAATTTGATTCTGGCATGGCTGTAATAGTTACTACAGGACAGTTATTCCCAGAGAGAGTCTCACATAAAAGATGTTGCCGAAAATATATCTGCTGAGGATTGTTTGTGGATTCTAATTTTTGGAGATGCATCTTCATCATGAAAAATAAGTACATAAATTCAGAGCCAATTTTATCTTTTAATAAAACATTTTAAAATCCTACCTAAAATATTTATCGGAATTTCTAAATTCACCCCTTATAATATTGCATCTAATATTTTAAGTATTGTTTAAGTATTGTCCTAGTGCACAGATGCAATGAAGGAATAAAAATAATTATAGAAGCAAAAACTTACTTAAAATAATGAAGCTTGAATTTATCAAACTGCATTGTTAGTAAGAAAGAGTTTATGAATTGTACAAGATGAAAACCTTATACTTATATTAAGGTATAAGGAATAGGTAACTCATAATATTGGAACTTGTAGTATCATCATTAGCAATAGTGTATAAAAATACTAAACTATTGCAAGTAAATATTTTTTTCACAATGGAAAGCCATCAATGAAATTCTCTATGCATTTAATCTAAGCTAGCATAACTACTATTATTATATATGCAAACTAAAAAAAGTATGATCTGTCACCTGAAGGAACCTTTAAAATAATCTTATTTATTTTCAAAGCTTGCCATTCATTGTTTCCTGTTTCAATGCAAACGTCCTTTATCAGCATAAAAAGATCAAATGTTGGTAAATCCTCCCTTTCTGCAATTTAAATTTTCACTCTGCGCTGTAAAAGCCATTTTGTTGGATATTAAGGGGAAGAGTTGCCCCCAGAGATAAGGAGAATCCAAGACCTCAGTGCCTTCCGCTGTGCCCTTAAAACCCACTTTTTCCAGCAAGCCGGGCTGGCTTAGGAAGAAATTTTTTAAATGTTTAATTGGTTTGTGGTTTTTTTTAATTTTTGGGCCAAATTTATATATATTTTAATTGTTTTTAATATTTGTATTTCATGTTTTTAATTCTGGCTGTCCACGGCCCTGAGTCCTCAGGGAGAAGGGCGGTATATAAATTGAAAAATAAATAAATAAAAAATAAATAAATAAAAAGAGTTAAATACAGGTTTTCTATTCTATGAATGGATAGGGACTTCTCATTTAAAGAAAGGGAGTAAGATCAAGTAGATGTGTCCCTATTCCAGAAGATTCCCTAAAAATCAAGTTCTCCTAACTAGTGGAAAATAACAGTCCACGGTATGCATACTGGTATTTCTTAACAAAAATCAAGTTACACTGGAAATAGCCTACATGATCAGTATTTGGGTATTTCAATATTCATATAGAAGTCTACTTACTACGTTATCAGCAATTTTACATTTATTATTTCTATGCTGATACCACTTGATCATATTTGTCTTTATTATATACTGCACACTGTTTTAACCATACCTGAAGCAAACTAGAACAAAACAAACAAAAAGCAAACAAACTTCTTGCTCTGAAATTCTTAAAATCATTGCAAAATACTAAACTTTTTACTGTATTTGTAAAATATTGTAAAAGACATTGCTTCCATAGGATTATTTAACCTCAACTTTTATTTATTTCATAATACAGAACTTTACTTTTTGAATGTTGTGATAAATATTGAGCAGTATAATTATTTAATGGTATCATCATCAAATAATGAAATTATAAATTGTTATTATGAATGTATTCATATTAAAGTAATTTACCATTAAAGCTGAGTAAGTATAAGGATAATGGTAAGCAAAATAGCAAACATCATCCTTATGATGGAAGGTGACTGTGAAGGTGATTGTATAATATGATTTTCCTTTTTGACCTCCTGCTGCAATTGAACTTCTTGAAAAATGATTCCTAGGAACAAAACATTTATATCATTAGAAAAATAAATAAAGTGCATCATTTTATGTAGTAAAAAAAAGAGCCAAGGTGGCGTAGTGGTTAAAGTGCAGCACTGCAGGCTACTTCAGCCAACTGCTATCTGCAATTCAAATCTCACTGGCTCACGGTTGACTCAGCCTTCCATCCTTCCGAGGTCAGTAAAAATGAGGAGTCAGATTGTTGGGGGCAATATGCTAATTCTGTAAACTGCTTAGAGAGGGCTGTAAAAGCACTATGAAGCAGTATATAAGTCTAAGTGCTATTGTTAAATTGGTATTTATTATTTTGAGCCAAATAATGATGTTTAATATCTCAGTCTTCATTTCTTAATTTCGAAGTGTTCCTTAGCAATGCAGTTAATGCATTTAAGAGCTATTCTATTCTATTCTATTCTATTCTATTCTATTCTATTCTATTCTATTCTATTCTATTCTATTCTATTCTATTCATTATTTTATCAGCTTTATCAACTACAGAGTGCAAAGAAGATTGCACTTTGGGCCTTCATGAACCACAAGTGATGTGTCCTGTGATATATGTCACTATTCCCCACTGGGTATGTAATGGGAAAATTTCTAACTCTTCTTTTTTTTCTGAAAGCAAGCAAGCAAAAGTTTAAAGTACAAAAAAGCCACAATGAAATTGCATGGTAGTTTATCACATCTATCTTCTGCTTACTGGGGTCAAAATAGGTCACACACTATTGCCATTAAAACTGGGTAGCTGCAAAATAGTTCAGGAGTACCTACAGCCAGAGTGCACTAGATTTACTGTTAGCCTTACTTGTAGTAACAGATATCTGTTCCTGTACGAATCCACGAAGGCCGGCCACCCAGGGCTTCTTGAACAGAGTACATAAGGGGCTGCATACCTTCAAGAAAAATGTACTCTATTAGAGAACATAACCACTCATATTCAGCAAACAAATATACCTATCTGTAGACATTGTTCTCAGCATCACATGGGAAGATAACTTTTGATAAGACAAGAAAGCAAATTTATTTAGAGTTTGATGATTGCAGAATTCATTGTAAATTCAATATTTGAAGATTCTTATGGCCTGTATATATTAAGAGCTGTTAAAACTAATAGTGACAGTCAGATAACCTGGCTTCTGTCCCTTGTAAACTATGGGGACAATATACAATTACTAATCAGTACAGAAAGCCCTAGTATAATCTAGAGCTTAAAAAAAACTCTTGGAGTAATCTCCTTTGCATTCTCTTCTGAACTGGACTACTAAAACCAGTTAGCAGCTATTATCTGGAGCAGCAGAGTATAATTTAAGCAAGCTGCCATTCAAATTGCAAGTTAAATCTAAGCCAGTTTGCAATCCTTGTTTGGAGTCTTGATACAAGGACTAGCTGGATTGATCAAATTTCTATCTGATTAATTAAACCTTGGAGAAAAGAAATGAGAGCATGCATAAACAAAATTAAGGTTTTGTCCTTTAGGGTTTTGGATTGGCATAACTGACATTTCAATGCTGCTTCAGTTTCCATGCTAGGTTCTCTATCTTACTATCTTTTCCTTAGAAATCTTAAATAATTTGTCTTATCTCGACTTGATAACCTTTTTTAAATTAAAAAAAAAACATTTGTTATATCACTTCTCTGTGTTATTACTGATATTCTACAATTATTTTTAGTAGTAAATTAACATTCTGGTATTATCTACAATTGTCTAAACTACTTCCCCATGCATCTGTTTGTACTATGTGTGTCCTTTTTTTTTCCAAGAGAAAAGTAAATTAACTCTTACCATAATTAAACTGACTGTTTGTCTTTTCACAGTTGATTATATTAAATCGGTAGGCACTGCCTGTTCGCATTCCACTGACTTCAAAATAAAACCACTGGTGATAATGATTGCTGTTTATATCAGAATTCAGAATGAGATCATACTCATTTCTAAAAATGAGCAGAAATAAATAAGTCACAAAATTCAGGTAACTGATCTATAATGATTAAATAATATAATAACAATATCTTACTTTCTGATCTGAATAACTTTCCGTAAATTTCCTGATTCAAATTTGGAGTTAAACTTCAAGACATCTGCTTCATCAGGCACTAGACAACTGGAAAATAAAATACAATTACAATGATTTAAAAATGATTTATTTTGTTGTACTGAATTTGAATTTGAAGTAGACTGATTGGGGAAGAATACAAATGAACCAGAGCTCCAAGTCTTGTATATTAAATTGGTTTAAATTATACTAAGAGTTCCCCAACATAGTTAATGTGAGCTAATGAAAATATAAACTGCAAGCATGTTTTCTATGTTGCAGAACAGTGGGACTTCTTCACATAAAAAAATTCAGATTTCTAGCTGAAACATCAACATAACTATCAGCAATTATATAGTACAGGCATTTTAAAATTTTTCTGTCACAGAATTTTCTTGTTTTTTCCTAGGTTGAAACCTTGTTCATATTTGCATTAGGAGGATAAAATGTTAAGTACAGTAGAACCTCTGGTCACGAACGCTTCTGACCATGACCAAATTGGGTTCCAACCAAAAAATTCACAATTATTTTTTCCGCAGCCGATTTCCCCATTTTTTTTGTAAGCACCAAATTTCCAAGAGTAGGTTCGGGTCACGACCAAATCGGTTTGCGACCAAAGCTATGGAACGAATTATGGTTGTGACCAGAGGTTCTACTGTATTTTCAATTCAGTGAACTCTCACTATAAAGTTCCTTGATATAAGATACCTGACAGGTAGTAGTTCAAGTTTGTGTTGGTATTTACATCATTTTCATCAATTTATGCCATCTTTTGTGAACCTTGTGCAAATGACATGATGTGTTTATTGGCTTCATTAGAAAAATGGCATAAATCCACTTGATTAAAAAAATACCTGAATTTCTCATTTCCTGTTTAAAAGACAGCAGAAATGTTCTTCTCGATAATGTTCAATTGTGCTTGTGAAGATTAGTACTACTTGTTGATGGACTGGAATAGTTTTTTTCCCCCAAGACATTTATAATTCATAGGATACAAAACAGTTCCTTAAAACTAAAAAATCCTGAAAGCTGTGTATTAAAATACAGTGAATCCTGTTTTAATTAATAAAGCTATATTTAGTTTTAATTTTCACTGTGTACAAATTATTAAAATTAATTCATCTTAAAGATATAGTATTCTACCTCTAGCAAGTTTTTGACTTTTGCAACTTCATACTATAAATAGCCAAAGTAACTATCATACTCCCATTAATTTATAAGTTTTCCTAAATTATTGAATCTAAAATGGAAAAGTAATCATTATCGAATGGGGGATCAATCATTATGAAATAAAGTTCTTCATATAAAACTTACCTGAGATTATCAAGATCATACACAACTCTGTCTATAATATCATTAGGATGAATAAGCCTTTCAATATCTTGGGCAATTTTTGTCCTATTTAGAAAAGGAAGTAAGATGCCATATTTCAAAACTTTTATACTACAGTGCCACATGTAGAATCAGTGCATAAGGAAAGAAAGAGGTGTTTGAAAGTCAAGTTTCTACTTTAATATACAGTATTATTTGTGGAACTTGCCACAATTATTTTCTGAACAGGAAGAAAATGGCTTGTACATAACACATTGAGGCTTTCAGACCCAATGTTTGGTTTCCTTATTACAGGAAACATGCCCATTATGTATTAGCATTTAAAGATTATTTCAATTAGTATTAGTAATTAAAGCTAGTTCAGGTTTGAAAATAGGTTATATTAAAAATTCATGCAATTATAGTTTGAATACATTGCAGTGATTGGGTTAGAGTGCAAGCCTCTCACCTCTGGAAATTTCTAATTAAATATGATGAGCCTCTCAATAGAAAAAAAGAGAGATTCTTTATTCAGCTATGTAACCATGCTATAGGAATTGCTGTACTAAATATCTCAATATAATACATATGAGAGAGAAACAGTTTGCAGGTGAGGGGTATCTATGTGCTTAGGTACATAGATGGACCCCATTTCCTACAAGACATGTTAACCATGTAGAAATTTTCCTGAAAATCAGTAACAAGCTGAAATGTCTATGCTGAAAAGTTGAACAGAACACATTTTAGTCCTTTCAAGAGCTACATAGGAAACCATGCATCTCACAAAGCAATAAAAGAGCACCGCACATTGAAATGTTTTTGATAGAAATAGTCTATGTTACTATTGGGAAAACTGCCTCTTATTTCAATGTATAGTGACTAACAGATGGCTTCTCTTGTATTGCATGTATTTCTTTCATCTCAATCAAAAAATTAAGCTACATCTGGACGTGTAACAGACTATATTTGAAAGCTCTTAAAGTTGTCTCTTCATAAGGCATATTCATAATATCTGAAGTTTTCTCAAGTATAAACTTGGACCATGGATTATCTCAAGGAAAAGCTTGTTAAAATAAATTATTGCTAAATATTTTATTTCATATATTATATTCAAATATTTCATTTAAAAGGTCTGGGAACCCTTGCTACCTCCGAAATATATAATGTACAATATTTTTTTGTTTCTAAGACTTTGACTCCTAAAGATATTTCAAAGATATACAAAATCTTTGTTTTCTAACCTAAGAATATTAATGCTACAATTAATATGAAAAGTCCTTAAGTTTCCATCAATCGCAATTCTTCATTGTTAGAATTACTTATTTGGAAAATGTTCATGACCATCCATAATTATCAAAAAGCAGACAACTGCACTTCAGCAAAGAAAAATATTTTAATTAATATGTGTCCAAATTATTTTCACATACCATAATTCATTTGAGTTTAGCCATGGGATAAAGAAGATATCCCGAAAATAATGCAGATGTAGAATGGAATGACAAACTGGCAATAAAACACAATGCTATCCCAATTGTAAAGTGTTGTTGAAAGAATTAACAGTGACAGCAATCAAGATGAAAAAAATATATATTTGAATTTGTTCACACTAAAGGACTTGTCCATGATAAAAAAAAATTAGAAAGCATTTCACCTTACTTGTCCAAATTCATAGACTTTACAGCAAGTAAGGGTTTAGCATGCCCCACAGGAAAGTTAACTGTTTTAGTAATAAAATCAAGAGATATTTTATTTCTTCAAATGTCCTCATTTAAGCAGATTCATGCAAAAGGCACATTCAGAATTTAAAATACAACCACTGACGTTTTCAGGACTTGATTATGAAAAAACGATCTATTTCTCCTTATTTCAAGACTAACTAAAATTCAACAGTTGTGAAAATGTTTTTTGATGAAGTACTTGTATATTAAATGAATGTTAGAGTCCTCCTTCACCTAAATTATCATTAGTGACACATTTCCATGAATTCTACCTGCCTGTTCACTCAGCAAAACAAAACTATTTCAAATACAAAGCAAGAAGCAGCTTTCCACCTGATTTATTCTACAGCTAATTCTATTTTCTTCTCATTTTTCAGAACCAATACAGGCAGTACTCAATCTACAAGCACAATTGGGACCAGAATTTGTTTTTAACCAAAGCAGTTGTTAAGTGAATTGTGCCCAATTTTATGACCTTTTTTAACCAGTTAAGTGAATCATTACAGTTAAGTGAATCATGTGGTTGTTAAGGAAATCCAGCTTCTCCCATTGACTTTGCCTGTCGGAAGCTGGCTGAGAAGGTTGTGAATAGCGATTATGTGATCCTGGGATGTTGCAAATGTCATAACTACATGCCAATTGTCAAGCATCTGACTTTTGATCATGTGACCCTAGGGATGCTGTGTGCGTACCAGCTATATAAGTCACTTTTTTTCAGTGCCACTGTGATTTCAAGTGGTCGTTTAACAAATGGTTGTAAATCAAGGACTACCTATATCATTAAACTTAGATAGGATCTGAAATATGAATCTCAATGCTATTCTCTGTAGCCATGCTGCAATTATATTTCTTTATAATGTATCAATTCAGGCTATGACTTATGCACAAGCGCAACTCTGAAATGACTATTGGCTTTATGTATTACTATAGCACTAACTTTAGCGATAATTTACATATGTTAAATCAATTTTTAGGAGTCATTTTGATTGAGAAAGGAAGAATAATTATGAATCTCTGGATGAATTTCCCTTCCTCCTCCATCAATTTAGAAAGCAAGGTTCAAGGAAAATGCACACACCCATTCACTGCCAACTATTGTCAAAAAAGGAGTTTAAGAGACCCCGATGTTATGGAGAAATATCCAATATTTCTTTCACATACATCAGAGTTCGCATGTGACTGGCAGCCATTCTCTTCTTCCTTGTGGAAGAAAAGGAATAAAACATGAGATTATGCAATATCTGAGAATTCTAAAAGTTCTATATTCTTTGATGCAGATGATAGTATTTTTCAGTATAACAAGCATTTTAGAGTTTTGAAAGTTTTTATCTCAGTAAACTACACAACATCCATATAAAAAGGTTACAATCTCATACTAATATATATTCTAATATTTAGAATGTTCCATTGCAAATTCTCAAAATGATTAGTTATTTAAATGTTAAGATACATAAAACGATAGAAAAAAGTTTCATAGATGTATTACTGAAACTCTCCTGTTTGTCTATTGGTAACCTTAAATTAGGCAAAATGGTGCATGACAAGGCAACAATTTTTGAGTCACTGTACTTCAAATGGGCTAACTTAAAGGGAGCATCCAAAATCTGTAAACCATGATTCTTGTGGGTTGAAATTTGGCAAGGCTGCGGTCACTTCAGCACTGCTACTGTCAGCCAGTCATATGATCATCATTTGCAATACTCCTTGCCAGCTTCCCACACGGAAAATCAATGGGGAAGCTGGCAGGAAGTTGGAAGTTGCGGTTGCTCCCTCTAATCTTTTGCCCGCCTGTGATCATTTCGTTTCTGTTTAGGTAAGGAACTATCTCTGAAACAATGATCCAACAGGTCACAGATTATCTAGCAATATACAGAATTCTGCATTCGCAAAATATTCTCATATATTACCTAGTGATACAGTATTTTTCTTTACGGACAGGCAAATCAAAGAAGTCGAATCCGAAATTTCTGAAAGGAATTTCATAATTAAGTGGAACCTTTTACTTTCCCTTCCATTTTTCAGCCTCCCAAAATTTTCTTCAATGATTTGAAGTTCATCTGAAGGGATATGGTGAGAAGGACTGCAGGGCTGAATGGATGAAAACTGCCTCTTTCCTTTATTTACAGCATCAATCTTGGATCCAAATATATTCCATTAATAACTGTTATATTTGAATCTAGTAATATTAATTTTACTGTGAATGATACACAAACATTATATTAAATCATTCTTTAGACATGTTTGAGGAAAAAAAGGTGAACTTACCTCTGTACACCATATGGTCTGTCAAGGATAGGTTCTTTAAATGAAGGTGGAATATGTCCAAAATAATCAGGATAAGCGACTTCTGAATATTCAGGAACAGATCTAGTATTTTTCACTGTTTCAATATAGAGTTCTGGATCATGCAGTTGTATTGTATCAGGCATTTCAATTGTTACTTGCTCTCCTATAGAAACTGAACAAGATACTTCTTCTTCTTCAGGATCAGGTCCAGAACAGCATAGTTTTCCCAGCTGGACAGACCGTCCCTCAAACAAAACACTTCCACATGTTGGAACATGTTGAAAAGGTTTATTACAGGTAATTTCACTAAAGCTAGTTTTACATTCGTTTTTTGTCACAGTCATTTTGGACTGTTCACTTTTGGATGTATTTTGAAGTGAAATTCGGTCAAAGTCTCTTACAATTTCATGATTCAGGCACTGGCATGATGGAAGCAATTTTATTTGATCACCTTGATGCTGCAAACTATTATCCATGATACCATCATTTTTTACCAATCCCAAAAAGCCTGGTCTTTTATTACAGTCTTCACTTTGCAGATTACTCTCCTTCACAGGAAGTTGCATCATGTCATTTGTTAAGGATGGTTCCTCTCCAGCAGTGGGAACAACAATAGGTCCTCCTGGAGCTGAGTTGTTTGAAAAAGACTTTGGTTCCTTTGAAATGAGGTCACATTCCTTAATATTAAAGAAAGAAAAAAATGCCAGATACTTGTTAGAGGATTACAATATTAAATGTTGAAGAAAGAGCAATGAATCAAAAAGAAGGATCTGATCCAGACAAAATGAATAAACCATGGAGAAATGGAGACAAATAGTAGTAACTATTGTCTACTAAAAATAGTAGATAATTTCCTTTTAAAAAAGCTAAATGTGAAGGGAAAAAAAAGAATTACAACGTCAGAGTATACATGCTAATATTGAAAGTGATATGGCTCACTTTAAATGACTTATTGGATCAAATAAACATTTACCCAATCTGAATCCAAATTATAATTCAGATTAGATACTATGAAGTCAGAAGAGAGCCAATTTGGTGTAGTGGTTAGGACATCAGGCTACAAATAGGGAGACCATGAGTTCTAGTCTCCCTTGCCAAAAGAGTGACTTCTCCAGGCAGTAGAGTATTTGTAGTTCAGGGTTGAACTGTGGTGTCTTCGGTGCTCTTTGAGCTTGGTTATTTTCTTGCAGATGTTTCATTAGCCAAGTAGGTAACATCAGCAGTGCTAGAAGGGAAGGGAATTGGTCTCCAGGAATTCTCTAATGTTTTTGGACTGGCTTGGTCTAGGATGTTCAGAATTTCCCAGTTGAAACTATGGCTAAGGTCTGTCCATGAATTTCATTTTTTCTGATTTCAAGTTGATGTTCATGGATGCGCTCTGCTTGTCTTCTGCCTATTTGTCTTACACAGTGGCTGTTATAGTTCTTATATTGTAGATGATTCCTGCCTTTTTTTCTGGGGCTGCTGGGTATTCTGGTATTCCTAGGTGATTTTGGAGAGCTTTAGTCAGTTTGTCTGCTACGGCGATGCCATGTGGTTGTAGTAGTCTGTAATAATCCATTGGTGGTCTCATTTGATGTCACAGCATTCTTTACACCCATACATACAGAATTAGCAAAAGAATCCATAACAGCAGTACTATACAGCACACCTGACCTGACCAAATACATAAAGATGTTTTTTATGTATGGCAGTGTTATCCTTTTCACAGCTTGTGTTGGTTGTGCTACATTGGGTTTACTAGTCAGGCACTTTTTGATAAAGTTGCATGGATACCCATTTTGTTGGAAGATGATCTTTTTCCTTTTTTGATGTTCAGGACTGCTGCAGTGTATATGTGCTTATCTAAATAGTGTACATAGCTTCTCTTGTGGAAAATTGTTTCTTTGATAGTGGAGCACTTGGTTGGTTTGGGTAATTGTATGATAGACTTGTGTTTCTAATTTGCCATCATTGCCTCTGTTGATGAAGAGGTATCCAAGAAGGGTAGCATATTGTTGTTTTCTTCTTCCCTTGTGAATATTATTCCTTTGAAAATGTGATAGTTTTATGCATTTTCTCTAGCTGGTCCTTTTTTATTATGACAAAGATGTCATCTGTATACCAGATCCATATTTTTGGGTTGTATATGTGGCAGTGCTATAGATTCTAAGCATTGATTACGGTGTCTGCTATGAGTCCTAAAAATGGTAATCCCATGGGCATTCCTTTGATTTGTTGATATATTTGTCCATTGAATTGAAAGTATGTGGTTAGGCAAAGGTGGGTGAGGTTCATGATTCTGGGTATTTTAATCTTGGTGTATTTGGTCAGGTCAGGTGTGGTGTGTAGTATTAGTGCTGTTATGGATGTAATTCTGCATCTATGGATGTAAAGAGTGCTGTGATATCAAATGAGACCATGATTTTATCTATGGTCCTGTCATTGATTCTTTGGAGGCACTCTAGTGGGGAGTTGATGTAATATTTGCTTCCCTCTATTAGGTGTCTAAGTTTTTCTGTCAGTCCTTTAGCAGGTTGAGGTCTCTGTAACAATACAATTGGATGGAAAGATATGTCTGGCTTGTGTGGGAGGACAGGTCCATTTTCATTTGCTCTTGTTCTTTTTAAATAATTTAATCTTTAAGGTCGCTAAGAATTCTCTTGATATATAGCCCAAAGGATGTTGGCAAGATTTATTCCAGTTAATCTCCAGAATGCTTTTCAAAATATTCTATTATCCATGTAAAATTAGGCAGAGAAGTAGCATGTACTTATCTAAAATTACCAAACCATCACTGGCAAATTAAAATGACTAGATTTAAAAATAGCAGCATCCTTACCTGAAAATCCTCTGAGAGTTCTGGGAAAAAATGTTCATACATTCTCAAATCTTCCACTGGTCGTCCCAATTCCTGCTTTGGTTTCAGTTTATTGATATCTGTCTCAATGTCATCGTTCTAAAGAAAAAAGTCCATAAGCATAATTAAAAAGCTTGGGGAAACTATGTTTTTAGGTAAAATGACTAAAATACTGAATACTTCTTAAAAACAAGGTTCTTCTATGCTTACAGAGGAAAAACATCAAAACTTCTGATTGACTGATGGAAACTGGCTACAACACACTGTGGGTTTTCCCTATTTCTGAATCAGCAGAAAAACCTTACCAGCATAAAATTGGCTCTTCCCCATTACTGATCCCTATTCTGACTCATCCCATTTCACTTGATTTTCCACCATGGGTGATAAATTCTTCTGATGTCAGAATATATTGATCTTTGGCTATAATAAAATTTAAGGCAGTGGAATAAGGGGGAAAACATATTGTAATACCAATGTAGTTAAGAATAATTGCAGCTAGCTCACTCAAGTTGGTAAAAGATTAAGGCAGCTTCATAGATAGCCCCCCCTGCCCCCCCAAAAAAGGGCAACGTTCGTTTAATCCGTGGTTAGGTAATACATGTAGAAGAGAGAGGCTCGCCTCCTAAAAATGGGCCTTCCCAGATTTCAGGTGTTGCACCAATGTCATGAGCTGATGCAGCATAACCAGATGCGAGACCCTGTTTTATGAGGTTCAGTTGTAGGAATCAGTTGGGACTGCTGCTTGCTTACCTTCCTCTCTGCATGTCTATGGAGATTCTCAGTCATCCAGGTCATGGTTGTTTCAAAGGTGCTTTCTCAAGGGACAACTGGACTTTCTTGTTTTTCTTTGGAGACATTTTGCTTCTCATCAGCTGAAGAAGCTTCTTGGATGAGAAGTGAAACGTCTCCAAAGAAAAACAAGAAAGTCCAGTTGCCTCTTGAAAAAGCACATTTGGGATTTCCTCTCTGCAATGTAGCAATATTCCTGCCCAAACTTCTCAACTCTATGGTCAGAATGGTAGTGGAGTACACCAGTATTATATTCTGTGTCCAAAGAATCTGTCTTTTTTGAGCACATAGTCAGATATGGCACAAAAGTTCATAGTAACTATGGATCTGATAAGAGCAATGAAGTGAGCTTACTTCTCTACTCTTACTGCATCAGCAGATAACCAGTTGGCTGACCAGGTCCCATTTGGGCAACAAGGAACCGGGTGAGCCCTTGAAGGGCTGCTTTGAGGAATAGTCTCAGCATGGTTATGGCCACTCAAGAAGTTGGGTCGAAGTGGTGATTATGCCTCATTGTGAGAAGGGATGGTGGCATCTGCCATGAAGGTGGTGGTGGCATAACCCTTTCTCAAGAGGCTTTTCTTGAACCTGATAGTGATGGTTAATTTTTATTCACTCTTCATTCTTCCCTTTTTACAGAAAATTGCTGAAAGAGCATTAGACACTCAGCTTAAAGAAGCCTTGGATGAAGTGGGTTTTTTGCCCCCCTTCCAACAGGGTTCAAACCAGATTATCTACTGAGATATCAAGGTTTACATTGTAAATGACCTCTGGAAGCTTCAGGATGCATCCATACAGATAAAGTTACTATCTATCCTCTAATAAGGGGAGGGAATTTCTAATATGAAGGGATACTGCTAACCAAGTACACTCAGCCTGGCCTTTGGTGAGGCAGTTGCTTGCCATGAGAAATCTGCTTCTCAAGGTAGCACACAGCAGTTTCCTTGCAAGACCTTAGGAAGAAGGCCTCACTTGCCCAGCAGCTGTCTTGCGAAAGGCCAGGCTGGGCACACTTCATCAGTATGAGGAAGAAAACGGGGGGTTAGCTGGGGTGGTGGAGTACAGGGTGGCAGAGACTTCAGTTTGCAGTACAGTGAAGATGGCTGCAGCTGGGCTTTTGTGCCACGCTGCTGGGCTGGGCTGGCTGGGTCTTTTGTGCTGTTAGGCTGGGGCAGCAGCAGCTTTGTGCCACACTGCTGGGTTGGAGTGGCTATGGCTCTGCACCAATGAGCGGAAGAAACTGCATGCTGTGACTCGTAAGACTATGCAATCCACTTGGGTCATTTACTTGCTTTCAGAGATGACTGGACAAAAGTCTGGCTTTTCATGTGACTACTCAGGCAGATTCTTTGCTTTTTTTAAAATAATTATCAAATTTGATAAAATAGAAGAAGAAATCAACACATGCTGATACAAAAGCAGATTTTGTAGGACTGTATAGTTTTCTGAAACACTGCAATCCCAAATGTACTTATTGTTTTTTTAAAAAAATCAATGTATGTTTCAACACTATTTCCTTCCTTTTTTTTTTTTTTTTTACTGTAAGTCTACTAAAAGTACATTTAATGTATTCATTATTTGGAAAACACACTGTTTTCCGGTGTCCAAATAAGCAACTTCTCTGAAGGGTAAAAATAATATTTTTAGAATTAAGAATGTATGCTATTTCTTCTACAGTATTACTAACCTTAAAATGTTGATCTATGTCATCTTCATTATCATTTTCAACCTCAGATTCTGTGTCGATGTCATCATTGTCATCACTTTCATCTACTACGTCATCCACTGTGATATAAAATGCTCTATAAGTAGGGCAGATGTACGTTTTCTACAATATGTATATCCCAGAAAAGAAATGATGCATGTGAAACTTCTCACTCATCAACTGGAACCTAATACTACATAAAAACTTAACTTTCCATGACACCACGTGCTGTATATTTAATTATATAGATTCTTTAGATAACAAACAAGTTTATTCAGTATTTTACCCAGGAGATTCATTAGATAAGACTACAGAATGACAGTGTTTATGTATATTAAATTCTTCATTAATAGTTCATTCTCAGAAAACTTATTTTGAGAACTTGGGAGGGTCTTAAAGTGGATAAGATAAAGATAGAACTTGCTGAAAACTGGGACACAACAGCTTTTATGTCCTATTCATTAAAGACACATCAATTCATGTTCAGCAGTTCTATCTCCCTGCAATACTCCCTGCCCGATATACTGCAGGGAGACAGAGGGTCCCATAGTCTCCAAAAATGTTTTATGAGTGACTGACCTTATTTCCCCACCCCAACTCCATATACACTGATGCTTCTCAATCTAAGACAGAATTAACAGACTGTAGCTATTAAAATTCTTTGTTTACTTATTTTTGCACCTATCAGTATTTTAATACAGACTTTCCATTTAAAAAAAATTCTTGGAAGTGAGCATTTTATACCGAGATCAGCCCTATCACACACAATAATATATGAGCTAAATGCTGGCAGCAAAATAACCAAACTTGGCTATACAATTTCAGTCCATTTTATTGTGGTTTTATGGAAGGAATTGGAGCAATTTCCCTCTGCTCTCTTTTGCCACATTCCCATATTTAACATCCCTCTACCAGGCCAAAAAACCAGGTTATTCAAAGATGAGAAGGGAGGGAGCAGAGGATGTGCAGGTGGGAGATGGGATCTACTTCTGGTCCAACAACTACCTTCAATGTGAAGTCTCAAGTCCCCAGCCAAGTCTTGTGAAAAGTAAGGAGAGTTACAGTTGATCTCACTTTGGGAGGACAAGATGTTCCAAAGTTGGGTGCTACGGCAGAGAAAGCTCTTCTCTTGGACCCCAACACCAGTATTTCCTGGCCAATGGGACTCACAGCATGCTTCCTCTGCTAGTGTGGGCGGACGGGCCTAACCCATTGGGGTGGGAGATTTGGTCAAAGTCCTGGATCTTGAAGCTTACAAACCACTGTTTGTAAGACGAACCTCTGTGTCCTATATTTTGCTCCTGAGTTATCTCAAAATAGTTGTCACGCTATAAACACTCTGACAGCACCCAAAGCCATTCGATCTTGCCAGGGTTCAGCTAAAACCTATTGTCCCCTATTCAGGCCCCCACAGCTTCCAGACATCCGATATACCAAGTGCCAAGCTCTTCCAGTGACAACATGATTCCAAAAGCAAGAAAGAGACAGACATGAATGCAGTCTCCACAACACTGCCCCTGAAGCTTTCTGCAATGAGGCTCACTTGAGGCCAACGTTCTTAACATTTCAGAACCAGACAAAGATAGTCCACTTGAACCAGGCATATTAATAGTTTAAGTTATTATTTTTAAGCCTCTATCCTGGGCTAATTATTGTGTTTTATGGTCAAGTACCTACAATTATTGTTGTGTAGCATTCTAACCTAGCCACAATACACTTTTATATTTATTTATTGCTGTCTCAATATAATTTTATTCTACAGAAAAAGCATATTTTCTATAAGATGAATAGAAGCATAGTTCATCTTTTTAGTTGAGAGCACGCACATTGCTAATCTACAAACCTATCCATTGTTAACTTCAAGCTTCAAGTGTTATAGAATGACTCCCAAAGTATGTAGTTCCTACATTTGAAAAGCAAGACAGCCTTCTCTTTACTGTATACCAGGGGTCCCCAACCTCTCAGCCACGGGCCACTAATGGGCTGTGAACTATTTGCCACCAGGCTGCGGAAACAGAATGAGCGTGCACGCACGCGCATCCCCACTTGCTCAAGCAGCAGGCAAGCGTTTGCATAGGTGCTCCATTTGTATAAGTGGCAGGCACGCATGCACACTGCTCACACAAATGGAGCTCCACATGCACATGCTTGCCGCCCACTCACGCAGAACCTTCCCTTCCCCCCCCCTTGTCCGCAAAGCCAGACAGGTTGGGGAACTCTGCTGTAGACAGTTACCTTTCACATATGAGAGCAAAAACGATGGGACAATGCGTTTTTAAAACAACTGTACAGAGTATCAAAAATGATACTTTCCTTTTTAAATTTTAGACTTATAATATAACTGTTTTTATTCTTTACATCAGATAAATATATTCAAATAAGGTTTTAAAATTTTGAAGGTAAAGAATATATCTAATGGGTGCATAAGTGAAATATTACTCACTAACAAAACTCTAACTATTTTTATGTAATTTTGCTTCTCCCACTGACTGCAATGCCATATGGCACAGCTCTTACTATTGTGGAACATCCCCACCCCAATATCCAGAAAGATTTGGGGGGAGGGGTGACAAGGAGGAAGTTGGTGAACTATTTCACTTGACAAAACCAATACTACAAATAAAACAGGATGATGGAAGATAAAATCATCGAAAATGATTTGAATTTAAGAATTTGATTTTGGTCAGTAGAACAAAATTAAAATTACGATGCTGTAGATATACATTTTAGTTTTGTAGCAATTATACAGTACAGGAATGCATATTAATTTTTAAAAATAGTCTATTATTTTACAAGAGAGAATTTTTATTGTGATATTAGGATTTCAGGAACAGGCATCAAATACCCAAATTAGGGCAATTTAAACAAGACCACAATGTTGCCTTCAGAGGTTGTGGGTGCTTCATCACTGGAGGTTTTTAAGAAGAGACTGGACAGTCACTTGTTTGAAATGATATAGCATCTCCTGCTTGAGCCGGAGGCTGGATTAGAAGACTTCCAAGGTCCCTTCCAGCTCTATTCTGATTCTAAATTACATAGTTTTAAAATTGCTCATACCTTCAGGAGGCAAACTATACAGCTGATACACTGGTCCATTAACAGGCATAACAGGTAGTTGGAAATGGAAAGCACTTTTAATGGTCGGTAACGGAAGACGATTTTTAGGATAGCATTTCCTCATTATCAGACTAGAAATGTTGACAAGTGGATCCAGAGTTCTTACTGCAAGGCATTCCTATTATAGAAGTAAACTCATGTATTAAATTACAGAAGATAAAATATTTTATGAACTATAACAATTGACATTACAAAGAGAGTATGTTTTAACTCATTTAGAATGGAATTCTTGCCTCATTTATGTTCTTACATATTGTATATGCATGCACACAAACACAATTCTAATAAGTCGATGCAACATTAAACAAGAAATGGCAATACAAATGTTGCAATTATTTCAAAGTGTAGCAATTCTTAGGCATAGTTTCTGTTCTAGAAAATCTAAAATGTTGAATGATAATATGAATCTTGTCTATGTTGAACTCCTCCTATAGTAACAGCCTGATTATGTGTTATGCTCCGATGCCATTTCATTGTTCAGAAGCCCTAAGAATAGGTAAACCACAAACAAAACAATTGAAAATGTCCATGCAATTAGTTGAAAATAGGTGGTATTTATTTCAGAATAAAGAGAATAATATTTGAATGGCACAGATGCAGCAAACACGAAAGCCAACTTCAAATAGTTTATGTTCTTTTGCACTTTATATGCACTTTCTTTTCTTTCATTCATCGAGTAGCTCTTAATTAACTCTCAAGGGCTTCTAGAGAGAACAGTTATACCAGCAGAGAAACTGATATCCTCACACTGGAACCATAGGATATAGGATATGAGCAAGACTCGCCCCAGTCTTCATTGGCTGACTCTTTTCCTACCCTTTTTGTTCTTTCAAGCCAGTATCTGTTTATCACCAGGACATTGCAGCTGGTGAAAAATACAATATCCAATTTGCTAATAGGCCTCCCTCGGTTGAGTGCACATTACAGTACACTGAAAGACTTTTGGGCGCAATTTTAAAGTGGCAGTTTTGATCGCTGACCTAGGATCACCTTCTTTAACTATAATTAACCTGATGAGTTAGTTGTTCTGGAAAAGGCTACTGGATTATTTCATTTCCATGAAAAGAAGGGTGGGGTGGGGTGCAAGGGCAACAAGGGTCTCCCTGTCAGCAGTTGTAGCTGTCTTTTGAAACAGACTGTAATGTAATTTGACTGTAATCAGACTTAGTTCCACATTGAGAAAATGTTTTTTTAAGTTTACTTTATTGATTAGCCCTTGGGCCATATCAAAGTGCAGTACATACAGTACCATTGAGCTTGCATGCATTTAGAGCAGTGTTTCTCAACCTTGGTAGCTTGAAGAAGGGTGGACTTCAACTCCCAGCAGCGCTGGCTGGGGGATTCTGGGAGTTGAAGTCCACCCATCTTCAAGCTTCCAAGGTTGAGAAACACTGATTTAGAGGATGAAGATTTTGTTTGGACTATTTGTTATATAATTGTATTTGTTTATACATTTTTTAGGCTGTTTTGCATTGCCCTATCATGGATGTTCTATGAATGTATACATTTTGATTAGGGATTTTATATTGTTTATTATGGATAATTTATATAAGCAGTATTGTTAACTGCTGGGGATCCTATAACACAGCGGCACCCAGCCTTTTGAGCACCAGGGACAGGTTCCTTGGAGAGAGGTTTTTCCATGGACCAGAAGGGGCGTGGTTTCACATGATGCCTGCATCCCGAGGATGGGGTTTCACTCGTTTGCACGGCTCAGTTTCTGGCATGCCCAAGACTGGTGCCAGTCCACGGACCAGGGATTAGGGACCCCTGCTATACCACATGTCAGTATAGAAGTTCAGTAAATAAACTATTCAGGGTGCCTTCTTAGAAATAAAAACTTCTTTGGTTAGAAAGAGCTATGACTAATAAAATATGCTACCGATTAGCAATATAGGTAGTTCTTATTTAGCAACTGCAATTAGTTCCAATGGCTTGGTCATTAAGCAAAACAGTTGGAGGAGGGAGAGGGAGGGAGGGGGGGAGAGAGAGAGATTGCAAAGATCACTGGTAACTGTCATCACATTCAGAAAAAGTTTCTTTATATAAAGCACCTGTGACTGACCATGTTTTTCCCCTTTTTGGTCTCCTCACAGAGCGGAGAGAGTGCTTAAATAAGCTATCTCTTCCTGAGCTGCTTTTCTCTACAGTGCCACATTTCCCTAAGAAGAGTAACTGCAAGTTAACAAGTTCAGCTTTGTGACCTTAATTAGTTGATTACAACCCATGGTTGGATACAGCAGCTGCCTGAAAGTGACCAGACATTAATCAATTTCACACTGAAGACTTGTTGATCAGAAAATAAATTTTTATTACCATTTATTATCAACGTATTTGTGAATGGACAGTATCTGAGGCAGTTGCTAAATGAGGACTGCTTGTAAAACTTGTAAGTATCAAATATACTAGTGCACACCGAATATATTTTCTTGTGAATCATAATTTTTCAGCTGAAGAATTAATATATAGAGAGATTCTATATGTTTATCTACAAAAGGTTTATACTACCATTTAAATTGTATATATACCCCTTATAATAGCAATAAAATCTTTAAAATTTACCTGTGAAGTATTGTACAGAGTTTTCATCCCATCAACATCTAGAAATGCTTTTCTTCCCAGCTTGATATTGGTAATACTTTTAATAGATTGCAAGATTCCCTTACGGATTAACATATGTCTATGCCGACTATCATGACGGTGCCAATCTACATAAATTGTTAACAGCATTTGGACATAGCCTCTATCCACAGCTCTCCGTGCATTTGTTTCTTGAAGAAAAAAATATTTAGAGCTGTATTAGAATAAATAAACAACCTGATATTTCTTCTGGCAACTATGAGACCAAATGAATAATTGAGTAATATAGAATTAGAATGAATATAGAATTTATTCCTTCCCTTGCTACTACATTTATGATAAAATATTAAGAGAGAAACATCTGAAATAGGTTTTAGGATCAGCTGACACACAAGTACAAAATAACAGCTATGAATAACAATGGTTGTATATACAAGTCAACATAGGGCAGAAATCAAGGACTGACTGGAAAGTTATATGCCTCAAGTCCCATTCAAAATTATATATATATGGGGTATATCTGTGAGCAACTCATACACTACTTCATCTTAATATGCTCACGAATTTGTTGCGGAATAACTTAGAAACCTCACTGAGATTTCAGGAAAAGAATTTGTGGGGGTATATTCAATTAAAAGATACTAGAAGCAATCCCAAGAAAAAAGGCAAAAAATCAGTTACTATTTCAAAATGTAGATAACATTTATCTACTACCAATTCTTCTGTATTTCAAATCAGTTCTTGTTTCATGATTTCAGTATACAAGAGTGATAATTTGTATTTTATGGATTAATTTTCACTTGCTTCATCTGCAAAATCAAATATTAATCTGGTCACATTCCATATGCTCTCTAACTGCATCATACACTTACTTGATTTTAGAAGTGCAGTGAGGGTATCTAGAGCAACCCTATAAACAGAACAAACAAGAATGTAACTGAAAAGTTTAGAGGTTGTTATAGAATTTTTTTTTCCCCTTGTACCTCATATTTTGCCCCCTCTCTTTTTCCTTCCCCTAATTTCCTGTTTTTATTTTCCTTTGTATATCAAAGAGGTATTAAAATAATCTCAGCTTTCCCATTTTAACTACTAGATACGATTATATTTTAAAGATTATCTTTAACATTGCAAATGTCCAGATGTTCTACTTACTTCATAACGCCAGTATTTTTCTTACTGTAAGGACCAATTATCTTAAATATCAATTCCACAACTCCATTCTTACCCAAGGAAACAGCATTTACAGCTAAAAATAAAAACAACAATCTACATCACTATATAAATATGTGCTGCTGCCACTATTCACAAAAACCACAAAATATTTTCTTTTTCAATTATTTTATTTAAATAGTATGATTTCCGATATCAAGTATAATTACTTGATATATTATTGTTCAGGTTAATGGAAGATATATATGCATATATATTTGGTAAATTATCTTAAGTGAAGAGTTTTGGAGGGAAATCTACATTACTGCATTGTTCACTAGGTAGTGGTGAAATCTAAAATTTGTTACTACTGGTTCTGTAGTTTTTTTTCTTTTAAATGCCTCTGATGATCCAAGCTGAGTTGCCTGATCAGCAGAGCCTTTTTTTCTTTTAAAAGCCTTTGACGATCCCGGCTGAGCCGCACGATCATCAGAGGCTTTTTTTTTTTTTTTTTACTTTTAAAAGCATTTTTTCGGCTGAAGAGGTTGTAGAAAAAATGCTTTTAAAAGTAAAAAAAAAGCCTCTGATGATCGCGCGGCTCAGCTGGGCATGGGGGGGCAGGGATTTTTGCTACCGGTTCTCCGAACCACCTGCCTCCATCGCTACCGGATCAGGTGATCCGGTCCGAACCGAGAGCATTTCACCCCTGTCACTAGGTAACCTCAGTATTTCTCATACATTCATATAACATATTTGATTTTTAGAATTGATAAGCTAATCAAATGCCAAATAAAAGTTTTATTATACAATCAATATTTAATAATATTTATTGTGCAAAGGTGATTCTAACATTCCCATGATCAAATTTAAGAGTCTTCATTTCAAGCCCCACATCACTGGTGAATGAATCCTAACTAATTAGCATTTTACTAACAGTATGTTATTAATGATCAATGCTGGAGATTTTGGTAACCATCTTCTGTGGATTTAAGTTGGTAGCGCAATACTTAGGAAAACTTTTCCCTCTATCTATTCACAACACCCATTCATTTATGGCTTAATGCAAAGTTGCATGCAAACACAATTGTAATTATATGATAAAACTTCTAAAGCATGCTTTTGTGGAATGAAGCATTTTTGACTGATGGAACAGAAATTGTATTGTTTGATCTCAAGAAATATTCAGACAAAAAAGAAAAAAGATTGAAGCATTTAAAGAAAAGAATACCATGTCAACCATCAACTATGGGGGTGGAACTGTTATGCTTTGGAAATTATGAGGCCCAGATATAATACGCAGGTGGAAAAAACAACGTATTCAACTAAATATCAACATATCATAGAAGTTAATGTTCCTCCAACAGTGCAGAAACTGAAGATGAAAAGTGGTTGGCTATTTCAGTAAGACAACAGTCTGAAAGATAACCTATATTAATGGATATACATTGTTAAAAAATTGAAACAATACTCACAATTAGTTGAATACACTCTTAACACTTGAAGACAAGGCAGAATTAGCCTTTGATGCTGCAAGTTTTGTTTCACTATGTTCAGAGTTATATTTAAAGCACCACTAATTCGGGCTTTTACTCCAAATTTTCTATCTGAAAACCCAAAAGGGATAGAAATATGAGCATCTCTCCAATTCAAATTTACTGACATACTGTAACATAGTAACTACATTTAATTATATGAAGTCCTTGACTTATGGCTGGTGGTTTAAGCATTTCCATCCATTGTAGAAAAAAAACCTGTGCCAGGGCCCCACCAGTCACATTACTCCATTTTGGCTGCTTAGCAACCTGTTCATATTTACAATCACTTGTCAAATGCCTTATCATGTGATTGCCATATGAAAGTGGAGGGGATATTGGAAGTCTGTTCTCCCAGTGCGTGGAGGGATTTCACCTCCACTCCATGCAAGGAGGGAAATGTTCCCATGCACTGGACGAATAGACCTTAAATCTGATGAAAACACTTTTGAACCCCAGCCTTTTCTAGACCATCATTCTTGTAATCATTCTCAGAGGGATGGGGAGAGGAAGGGTTTGAGCAACTCTGCTGTGTCATTCGAAGACCAAGATTCTGGGCCCACTATGTTTTAATGACTGTTTTAATGAAATAGAAGTCATTAGATTGGGATCTTAATTAACTGTTGCAATTCACCACTGACTATACTTATCATATACACAATTATTTCACAGCTACAAATCGCTCTAAATTTTCATGTGTTTTAAATGCCAATTCACCCTCAGGCTATGTTTAGTATTTACTGAAAAATAAATGTACCCTTCCTGCTTGCTTCAATAATATGAATTGTAAGAAGCAATTCTTCTCTGGGTGACATTCATAAAGGTTTTTTTTTTTTAAATTATTCCATTGAGGAAATCTCTTTTAGTTTTCTTAAGATTTATCCTAAGTTTGTAATAGCTTCCACTGCTTCTCAAAATGTCAATTTTGTTGTTGTTGGATACAAGCAGTTAGAGCTACATAAAACCCAAAACAGAAGAGAAAAAGTGTGTCCAGGTTAATTTTAATGCTTCAGGAAATTTATATCCATTATTCTGCTCATCCATTTCACTCTTCTCAAAGCATCCTGTGTAGAATAGAAAGTTTGTAAACGATGGAAGAATAAAATGTTCAGCAGGACAACATAAAAGAGTCAACGCTGAATAAAATATCAATGGAATTAAATGAGAAAAATGAAGATTTGCCTAGGAGATCAACAGAAAGGGAAAAACTCATAGTGGCAGGCAATACTTTCTAAGAATCCTAAAGCTTTAGTATTGCAACCAAATTAAATTATCTCCCATTTTCATATACATCCCCTTTAATAGGACAAAGAGCAGAACATTTGAGCTTGGTTTACTGGTTTGGGGGAAAACAATTTTTAGGTATCCTGTCTAACCCACCTCACAGGACTATTGTGGGTAAAACAGGAGGAAAAAGTATGTATGCTTGCTCTGTTGAGTTACTTATAAACAAATCAGTGTGGGATAAAAAATCTAAAAAAGAAATAAATAATTCAATATAAGCATTTTAAGGAAAAAAACCAAATATAATGTTATGTAAGCAACAGTGGGGTGTGTAACTGCATACAGGAAGTCCTCGACTTACAACCAGTCACTTAACAAGTATTCTAGATTACAACCGATTTTCAAAAAGCTACTTATAATAAAGGATTGCATTTGTGCAAAATCAGCATTTTATTCCAGCAATACTCATCACACTACAAACAAAAACTTGGGAATTCACTTGGGTTCAATTTACCTTTGGGGCCTATTTTAGCAAGAAGAGAATGTAGTAGCACCATTAATTCTTCATTTGGTGGGGGTTCTTTGCTTGCGTTCACAAGTAATTGCAACAAAATCTGTGTCCCTCCTCGAGAAACGAGAAAACTTGTTCTTCGACTGCTGCCTAGAAATAAAATATGAGCCATTGGCTGCAATCTTAAAATAAACTGATTTTATAAGGGCATAATTTCTTTACATGACCACTGCAAATTTATGTGGGAAATTATTTACTCTCTTGACATTAAAATACTAATCTTTGTATGTTACATTGTAGGAAAGTAACAATTCATATATATTAGGCAAACATTTTTAAAGTATATAACCTACAAACGATCATTTTAAATAGATACTTGCCTGCTGCCACCAATTCAATTAAGATATTTAAGATGTTTAATATAGTCTGAAAATCTCTTGTGTTCTGAAATGAACAAACAGAAAGAAAGTCAAGAGTATTGGTCATAATATATATGAACACAAAAATGATCACTCTACAATCTTAATTAACTGTAGCCTTAATTAACTTTTGCATTAGCCTGCAAAAGTTTCCTCTCATTGTTATACTGAATCTTAATGCATGCAAGTTGTGTGATTACATAAATCAATTAAATAAATGTTTTATGTGCAATATTTGTCATATCTGTTGACTACTAATTTCAATATGGTGATACAAAAACTTAATTTTTAGGCTTTGGCAATCTACAAATGTGCTGTGGAGTATGTGGGGCTCATCACGTTGTATCTACCTACAAGTCTTTAAAGCACCAGGGTTTTTTTCCAGCAAGACAGACCTTCTTTAAACAATTATAGACAGGTGATATAAGTGTTTCCATCACACTCCAAAGTATTTTTTTTGCACTTGAATCTAAAGTGTGGCACACTTCTATTAATTCCGGCTGTACCATGCCCTTGGCTTTCCCATGTTAAACAAATAGCACTGTCCAAACAACAAAAGCTGCCAATTGTTTTAACTTCCCCCAATACACAATTACACAATTAATGTTTACATCACTATATCAAAACTCCAGTCTTTCACACTATAGTAGCCCTAAAAAAAAAAAATAAAACAAATTACTACACAAATGAGCAAGAAAACATGATGTTTATGCTGTTACCTCTAAAGTTGAGAGAATAACTTCTATCCCTGTTGAACCTTTGGCAGTCATATCTTTTCTGATTTTTTCTGAAATCAAAGTTGTATATTCTTCTATTAACTGAATAAACTGATATTTAAATGTTAAATGTATATGACTTTTAAAAGATGTAGAAAAGATAAGTACACAAAAGCAAAACAAATTAATTTTAGAGGTTGTGGATCATCTAGATTTTTTTAAAGTCTGAGTCTTAAATATAAAATATTATATTAGCCATTCTTTATAGCAAGGCATTCTTTAAGTGCCAATCTTTTTATAACCAGGAAATTCTACCTACCACAAGAAAAATCAATCAAAGAGAAAAACAGTCCAAAGTCAATGTTAATGCTTAAAGACCATTCTGGCTGACCATTCGAAAGAAGGGGGGGAAATGAAAAGGGGAAAAGGAAGAATCAGGAATAAAATAGAGCAGGGCTGTCAAACTCGCGGGCCACAGGCTGGATGCATCACACACTGGCTACGCCCACACCTGGTTTAGCGAAGGGGGAAAAGTCATATGTCATGTGAACCACTGTGATGAGTTTGAGACCCCTGAAATAGAGAATGGAGTAAGTGGGAAAAGGCAGTAGCAAGAACATTTTCAGATCATAACAGTTTGTTACAGATTCTCACTTATATCCCGTAAGAAAAATATTCAGTTTGCTCAAGATTAATAGTCTACACAAAAGAAGAAACAAAAAAGAATTTATTCCAGGCTATACGTAAACATCCCTACTTGATTCATGTCAAGTGGCTTATGTTCAAAGAGAACAAAACTGAACTGTTTTGAGTATTTAACCATAGAGAGGAGTGGGGACTTGCTCCATTATTTTTCATCCTAAGGCAACAGAAAAGATTGTGGTGATTGCTAGGTACCAGGATACAAATGTCCAAGGGGATGGGGTTTTTTTTAAAAAAAGTTTAAACATGTAAAAAGTGGTAGTAACAATTAAGCATTAACTTCTGCAACTAGTGATTGATCCCAAGTGACAGCAAAGGTTTCGCTTAAAACATGTGATTAATTTAACAAAAAGAAAAATACATTTCTCTGATTACTGACTTAAGGTTTCTTCTTAATGCATGGATACAATACAGAATTAGTAATCTGTTCCAAAAGTATCACCAGAATAGTTATTCATATTGAAAATGTATTTTTAAAGGATTTCTATTCAACTTTTTGATAAGACGCATGATCTTACAATGCATAAAACTGTGTAATTTAAACCTGATCCCCCCCCACAAAATAGATCTTTACAGGGTGATGAAATCAAGGATAAAGAATGGACTTTTTATTAGTTAATAAAATCATTAATAATTACAAGCTAATTAAAAGCCAGGGATTGAAAATCACAAAGAATAAATTTCAGGAGATAACTCAGGCGGATCAGGACAAAGATCATCTGTCACTTTTGCTCAGAATAAAATACTGGTGCAATATATGGACAGGAATAGAGCTGAAAAACATTGAAAACTGAAAATTGAACACCTACGGTCCATTCTTGATGTTGATTTAAGAACAACGGGTTGTTGTCTTTTAAATGACCCTTTAATCACTTTACCAAGGTGGAGTCGGAGTGACTGAATGGAGCTGAGCATTTCCTGGCCAGATGCCCAGCCTGAAGCCTACACGGAGTTCGCAGCAGATATTTTCTCTTTGCACCCTGATAGAGAAACATCTGCCGCTGCCTAGGATTGAACTCTCAATCTTCAAGTGCAAGGCAAGCATCTTCACCTCTAGACCACTGCATTGTTCTTACAGAGGTAAAATAATAATTGAAGAAATGTACTAGCCAGCTCAGATAGGATAGGAGAACAAATAGAAGAAAAGCAAAGTAAATACCAAACAAGGCAGGTTAGACTAGCTCTCAACTGCTTAAAATTATTTGTGTGACTTAAGAATTTGTTTGTAATGGTGTTCTTTGTTTGAGGCTTAATCAGCCATACTGCAAAACTGCCAGATGCTTGTCCTAACCCATGAAAATAGGTTCTCACCTATCTATATCAACTTTACAAATATACTGTATAATTGTTTAAACATTATATAGAATGTATGTGAGAACTAATAATACAGATGCATGCATACACCTCAATTAATGAGTATCTGTAATATTTACCTTGACTTTGAGCCAGGTGAAGAATTTTTGATGTAACATATCTGGCAGTGTCCACTTCTACCAAACATTCTGCATTGATCTTCTCCAGTTGTGCCAACAGACTTAAAATCCGAGAGTTGTTAGTTACACTGGGGAAAACAAATGCATTTAGGCTGTGATATGATGGGAATTTTTCAGAGTAGGGAATGAAATGTCAAGCAATTTAAAATAATGAAAATGACCCCAAATGTTACACAGAGAAAAATAATATGGAGTTGACAGTTCTTTGCTTTTCCATATTAACGAGAAAGGGAACAGAAAAAAAGCACTAAATTGAATATATAAAATCTTGGCAGTTTCTCAGCAAACAGACTTCATGTATTACTGCAAGATAAACACATACAGGAAACTAGAGAGGAGGACTGGTGAATCTAAATGGCCTCTTTTCCCAGGCCCTTTCTTTGCTTTCAAAATTTTCTATGCCTGTGCAAAATACAGATGTGCTTATTTTCACTTTACTTTTCAAAATTAAAAAATAACTAAAAGCATAGACAACTGATGGGTAAGAAAATATCAATTTCTACATAAACATGCACGCTAACTCTGTAGGAACTTTACAGATTAAGATCATGTTTCTCAAACTGGAGGCTGTGCATCAGTGGTGGGGGATGGCACACGACAGATACTAGACTGCAAAACAGTACCTTTCTGTAAAGTTCACTAGATAAGTTTGATAAAGAAGTATGTTGAATGCAAATACCAAAGCACTATATGAAGTCCAGTGTTTTTATTATTTCATTTGCTTTGGAAGGCATAGAGTTCTGGCAGAAAACTCACCTAACCCTCTACAGAACGATTGGGATGAAGCTCTTGAGGCTGTGGTAAGAATGGAATTCCAAGAGTTGTGGATGGATTTACAAGCATCAAGCAGGAACTGAAAGAGAGTCTGGTCCTACTTGCTGTCTTGGGAATTTATTACAGCCTGTTTTAGTTTGCAGACTTCAGAGATTAACAGGCTGTCACTTTTATGTCAACAGGGTTAATAGCTGGCTATTTTCTGCAAAGATCTATTTTCGTTTCGTTTGAGGGGACTGACTTTTTAACAGTTTAATTGCTATTCTTTAGTTCTGTTTTATGATCATTAACTGTGTAGAGCAGGGATAGGCAATTAATTTTTCCAAGGAGTCACATGAGAAATTGGGATGTTGGGGAGGGCCGAACCAATGTAACCTTACTTGATGTCCTCAAACGCCATCAACTCTACTCCTTAGGCTGCTCCAGGCGAGGGCGATGCTGCTACACAGGCACAGAAAAGTGCTCTTTCCTCGCCGTCCAGTGGCCACCAGCTGACTGAAGGAACTCACGGCAACCGCGCAGAGCTGGACCTAACTCACCTTCTTCTCCTGCCCCCTATGATGTACTTACATACATTTGAGTTCTAATTTCCGACTGACCTCACATGAGCCAGACACGGATAGCCAAAGGGCTGGATGTGGCCTGGGGGCTGTAAAATGCTCAAGTCTGGTGTAGTGTCTTATGGAATAGGCAGTAAAGATACAATTAATTAATTAATTAATTAATTAATTAATTAATATATTTGAAAATGAGCCTGTGAAATCTAGTTTCAACTACAGATAGTCCTATAATTGGGAACAGGATTTCCACCATTAAGAGATACAATCGTAAAACACAATGTCACATGACCATGACACTTATCAAAGAAATTCCAACACTTCCATTGCTGCTGTTAAGCGGAGATATCATGTGGTTTCCATTTGTGACCTCCTGCCAGCTTCTCCATTGTCTTTGCTTATAGGAAGCCAGCAAAGGCAGCCAGAACTCTGAGGACTAGCTGTGGTATACTTGTCCAGCACCACTGTTAAGTTCGAATGGTTGCTGAATTTTTATTTATTTATTTATTATTCGAACTTCTATGCCGCCCTTCTCCTTTTGGACTCAGGGCGGTGAACAGCCAAAATAAAAAAACATTTATACATGAAGTACAATTAAAAATAGATTTAAAATAATTAGATAAATTTGGCCCATAGTTTAAAAATTTATCAATTTAAAATCCGTATCAAATTTTAAAACCAACCATAAAATCAAGACAGACTGGCTAACTGAAAAAAATAAGTTTTTAGGGCCCGACAAAAAGTCTGGAGGTCGGAGATCACTCGTATCTCTGGGGGTAGATTGTTCCAAAGGGTAGGTGCCACCACAGAGAAGGCTCTCCTCCTGGGGGTCGCCAGCCAACATTGTCTGGCCGACGGCACCCTGAGGAGGCCCTCTCTGTGGGAGCGAACTGGCCGGTGGGAGGCTATTGGTGGCAGAAGGCGGTCCCGTAAGTACCCTGGCCCTAAGCCATGGAGCGCTTTAAAGGTGATCACCAACACCTTGAAGCGCACCCGGAAGTCCACCGGAAGCCAATGCAGCTCGCGCAGGAGAGGACTCACATGGGAGTGCCCCGTCACTCCCATAATACCCCGCGCGGCCGCATTCTGCACCAGTTGGAGCCTCCGGGTGTACCCCAAGGGGAGCCCCATGTAGAGAGCGTTACAATAGTCCAGACGAGAGGTGACGACTGCTTGAGTGACTGTGCGTAGGGAGTCCCAATCCAGAAAGGGGCGCAACTGGCGTATCAGGCGAACCTGATAAAAAGCCCCCCTGGCCACGGCAGTCATATGCCCTTCTAAAGACAGCCGTGCGTCCAGGAGGACACCCAAGTTGCGGGCCCTTTCCGTGGGGGCCAGTGATTCGCCCCCAATAACCAGCGATGGCGTCAGCTGGCTATACCGGGACGCCGGCAGCCACAGCCACTCAGTCTTGGAAGGGTTGAGTCGAAGCCTGTTTCTCCCCATCCAGACCCGCATGGCCTCCAGGCACTGGGACATCACTTCCAAGGCATCGTTGGGGTGGTCTGGGGTGGAGATATACAGCTGAGTATCATCAGCGTACTGATGGAACTCCACCCCAAAACCACGGATGATCTCACCCAGCGGCTTCACATAAATGTTGAACAGGAGGGGCGAGAGGACCGACCCTTGTGGCACCCCACAAACAAGGTGCCTTGGGGTCGACCGCTGCCCCCGTCAACACGGATTGCGACCGGTCGGAGAGATAGGAGGAGAACCACCGCAAAACGGTGCCCCCTACTCCCAGTCCCTCCAGCCGGCGCAACATGATACCATGGTTGATGGTATCAAAAGCCACTGAGAGGTCTAACAGGACCAGGATAGAGGAGTAACCCCTATCCTGAGCCCTCCAGAGATCATCCACCAACGCGACCAATGCCGTTTCCGTGCTGTACCCAGGTCTGAAGCCGGACTGGAGCGGATCCAAATAGACAGCTTCATCCAGGTACTGGGGAAGCTGTCGCGCTACCACACTCTCAACAACCTTCGCAATAAAGCGAAGGTTGGAGACTGGACAATAGTTAGCCAAAACAGCCGGATCCAGGGATGGCTTCTTGAGGAGAGGCCTCACCACCGCCTCTTTCAAGGCGGCCGGCTGGACACCCTCACTCAAAGAAGCGTTGATAATTCCCTGGAGCCAGCCTCGTGTAACATCCCGGGAAGCCAGCACCAACCAGGAGGGACACGGGTCCAATAAACATGTGGTTGCGTTCAGCCGTCCCAAGATCCTGTCCATGTCCTCGGGAGCCACAGGATCGAACTCCTCCCAGATAACACTCTCAAGGCCTGCCTCAGTCATCTTGTCTGAACTAACCCAGTCAGCGGGCCAAGTCTTCCCGAATCTGAGTTATTTTATCATCCAGATACTGTACAAAATCCTCAGCTCGGCCCTGCAAGGGGTCCTCCCCACTCCCAGATGGAGAAGGGAGCGGGTCACCCTGAATGAACTGTCATTAAGTGAGGACCACCTACCTGTACTTTATGTCCATTCAAAATGGAAGTAAAAATGACTAGGACATTTGATTATGCTAACTAAACAGCCTCTGGAATCATGACAGCAGAATTAATACAATAAATATATTTTTAATTAAAGGGATATGAGACTTCTATACTAACTTTTCAAAATTAATTCAAATTGTTCTTTATACTTCATAAAAAATCAACTAGTTATCATTAATGTTTACACAAAACCCAACATGTGTCAAAATAACTGTGGCATTAAATATTTTTACTGTTAGCAGGTGCCTTAGTTTAAATTTAAATTTTGTAACAAATTTCAGAATATATGACTAATAAAAGTCCACCCATTATTTTTGTAGATAACTATCACAGCTGTATCTAAAATGATGCAATCAGTATAGAATACACATCTTCAGGATGTCAACCAGTCCTGGTCCAATTCAGAACATTTTACTATAATTCTTTCTACCCATTAGGTCTCTTTTCACAGAATTTTCAATAAATATTTTACGCCAGAGATCTCCAACCCTGAGTCACGAACTGGTACCAGCCTGTAACCTGTTAGGAACTGGGCTGCACAAGCAAGAGAAGCTTCATCTGTGCATACGTGGGATCTAGGTAGCACACAAAACCATTCCATCATCCCCTTCCCCTGTTGCCACCGTCGGTCCATGGAAAAATTTTTTTCCTGGAAAACAGTTCCTGGTTAAAAAAAATAAAAGGTTGGGGGCCATTGATTTATGCCTAGTAAATATATTTATATCTCATCTACCCATTTTTAGCCATCTAAGCTTTTTCTTAGTACTTTTTAGCCATCTAAGCTTTTTCTTAGTACTTTTTTTTACTTGTACAGATATAGATTTCCCCAAAGCTGATGATACCCCATTCCTTTATATTACTTTGTAAGCAACAATCTAGAGAACCAGAGAGAAAAATCACATCTAAATAAAATTAGGGAGTGAGTTACACAATATGTAGATGTTCAGAGTAACAGCTACTGCATTATAAGAACTGACAGTGCAAGACATTCCACTTACCATCTTGTAAGGATAAACATGATGATTTATTGTACACATATACTAAAATATGGCCAGCCTGAATAAACTGTTTAATAATACTATCAGTGTTCGTTTATTAAACCTATAACAGATTGCCATTCTTTGGCCCGCTATTACAAACCAATTCTACTGCACATTAGAAAATGGTCTAAATTTTTAATTTGTTACACAATCATCTGTTTCAATTTAGGAGCACCGTGGGTTAAAATGAACATATTAAAACCTAACTATATTTAAAATAATTTATTTTACAGTTATTATATCATATACACCTTTCTTGTTTAACACATTATTAATTCTTTGGCTAATCTGTGTAAATCACTCTCATACATTTATAGAAAGAGACATAAATATTCATTAGTATCACAGAATCTCACATTAAAACAAAATATACAGTATAAAAAGAATATAGGTGAATGCAATGTAGACTCTAATGCCCACAGTTTCTGAGTAGTCTTTACTTTCCCATTTTGGAGAAGATTGTTGAGAAAGTGATTGGGCTACATTTTCAGAGAGTCCTCGAGAAAACAAAATATCCTTTTCTTTCAGTCAGGTTTCAGACTACACATAGCACAGAGAAGTCTTGGTCACTTTTCAATGAACTCTGGCAGCCAGGATGCAATGCAACCATTCTAGTTCTTCTTGATCTCTAAGCAGCCTTTGATATATCAACCATGGTATCCTTCTATAATACGTCTGATTAGATTTGGGGAACATGGTGTTTCTGTGATTTTCTGTGATACCCTTTTCTCCAAGGTAAGTTCTAGTCAATATTGATAATGAGGAAGAAGTTGGCCAAGTTCTTGTATTATGCAGGGTGCTACAAGGCTTGACACTTTCACTCCCGTTGTTTAACATCTATATGAAGTTGCTAAGTGAGGTACTGTATTTTAAAGCTGTCAACAACACAGGGCCTAGCTACTTTAAGTACTTTCTATCTCTCATAGTGACTGTCTGTTTGTTTGGACACTGTTGGCAAGCTCTGGACCCCATCAATTAAACAATGTCACCTGATCAGGCAAGACAGGAAGTAGGCCTTCTTTGCTACTGTTTTTGCTCTCAGGAACAGCATTCCCCCTGAGATTTATATGGCAACCACCCTGGCCTTATTTTCAATAACATCCTTAAATTTTCAATAACATCCTTAAAACCTATATTTTTCCTCCTAGGCCCTGAACCAATTTGAAAAATGGGGTCCTAAGGATGCTTCTCTACACTGCTTCATTCAATTCTGTATCCATTATGAGTTGGGCAGCATTAAAAAATCTAACTAATTTAATTTAAAAGTTTTGACAGTATATTTCAGAAACGGTTTTCATTTTTCCTGTGAAACTACATTGCGAGACTGGCCATGTAACAAACAGAAATATTTCATTTAGAAAACTTGGTTTAATTGTTTAAAATATATGCATGTTTCTCTTCCGTAGTTTAAAAAACAGTATTAAGGAAATTCTGGCCATGATATGAATTAATTGAGCATCTGATAGTTTGCTCAAGTATTTGAGTAATATTTCTTTGATTCAATACTCTTACCCTTTCCCAGGCTTTCCAACTTACCGAGAAATATTTCCCTCTTGCCAAGACTGAGCGGAATTGTCCAGAGTGACCCACTTTCCAAGTGGTTTAAACATCCTGACTGTAACATGGAATCGATGGCTACGCCTCATTTCTGCATTCTTTCTGCTAAAAATGCCTTTATCCAAACTGAAAACTAAGTGTTACCTATAGCTTAATCATTCCTTAAACAGTGATCTAATTCTAGAGCCAGATAAAGACACAACTGCTATATGGTATGTTACCAGGGCAACCACTTCATGTCATAAGGCCACAGTTCCTCTTCAAGACTAAACTCAGAAATCTTGAGACTGTTTTACAGAATTCAGAAGACTGATTCTGGAACAAATATAATAGTAATACATTTTACTGTGGAAGTAAGTTTCCTTCAAAACAATAAAAGAGTCATTTCACAAATATGGCATTCCTTCATGCGAGCATACCTATTTTACATAACTAGAAAGCCATGATTAGACAAAATTTCCAGCCTATATTATTATCTTTACATACAGTAAATGTGATTACTTTGTATGCAAGTTACAGAGTCAACTATAATTATTTCCACCCAATATATCCTGGTACTTATACCTTTTGTAGTACATAAAACAGCTGGGAAAAGGAACAAATAAAAACAACGATTTTCTAACTATTGTATTTCTATTTTTTTTAATTTAATTCGCAAAGTTAAAATACAACTAACTGTTCTATTTCAAACAATTTGAACAATGTAGTTCGTTTTAATTCAAGTGTTTTATTTTAAAATATTTCTTAAATGTACAGACATTGTATTAAGGGTTTGTGACAAAATATGCACAAATACATAGTATTCTTACTGATATTCTGCTACCTATTATGTCCCACAGAGTACCCTCACAAGATGATGAAATTGCAAAAAAAAAAAAAAAAAAAAAAGTTTGGTGTAAAGGGTTTGTAGAAGCTTACACAAAAATTGAAATCTGGCAAACATGCAGACATAACTAATTGATATGAAGTGTGAAAATATAGGAAGGAAACTATTCTGAACAGAATATCTTACAAATTAATGAAATGCAAGGAAAAAATGGTACAATCTCATCTGGAGCATAATATTCGATTCCTAGAATGAGAAAATTTAAACTTCCTTATTTTGCAAACAATATTATGTAAGATTTACCAAATGCTTCCCTATTGTGAAATGTTGTAAGTGTATGTATCCTATTCCATATTATTTCTCAAAAATATCTCTGCTAGCAAAAATCGGGTCTTATTCAAAAATAATCATTACAGATGTAATACCCTTATCATTGGCTTAGCTGAAAGCAATTCTCAGATGAAAAATGTGAAAAAATAGTACCAAATACAAATATATCTGTATTATTTTGGAATACATATTGCACAGAACCGAGCCAATTGTGTCTTAATGCCATGAGTTATATATAGTACTGCCAATATCTACACAGAAGATGAAAGGAGAAACACTCCTAAGCGAGGACAGAAATTTCAAAGCTATGTAGCAACACAAAAATGTTCAACAAAAAGAAATAGATCTAAAATAGAGAGATATGCGATGGCTGCTTAGTTGATACTCTAAATAAGAGTTCAGCACTTAAAATTTTGCTTCATGCCTTATATTTTTTAATAGCTTGCACATCTAACAAGTTCAAATACAACAGATTCCACATATATTACCCAATTTCTTTTACTTCAGTTATTTAATCTGAACAGTATTTTGCACACTACAAATGAAACTTATTCTCGTAATTATATATATAAAGGTAGTAATAATTTTAATTTTATAGAAAACCTACTGAACATAGTTCTCATAGTCGGAAAATAAACATTGAGAAGAATTCTCTAATTAAGCTTAAAAATGTTAATAATTTTGAAGATTATTACATACAAAGAACACTAAAATAAATTTAAATACATTAAAACTATCACTTGGGCATAAAAGGAAAAATAATTAGTTCAATTTTATGAATCAGATTTTGGGTTAGGAAAATATGTATCATTGCCATAGACAACTTCAAAAAGATTCTTACTGTTAGAAGATATTAGAATTTCATGGCAAAAGATCAGAGTGGGTTGTTTTTTGTTTTTTGTTGTCAGAAAGCCTTCTATGTTAAATCTTTGGAGAAAGCCATGGCATATGAATACTAGTTTTTCAAATACACATATTTCAGTTCTCAATTAACTTTTCTGCAATCAGGTTGTTATCAGATAATCAGGAACATTGTCATTTTGAGTACACTTCACACATAAACTTCAAAGATTAAAATCAGGATATGAAAAAAAAATGAAAAGAAGACAAGAGAAGAAAAAAAAAACACAATCCAATTCTTACAAACCAGAATAAAAAAAATCAATGAAATCATTTTTTTACTGATTACCTTTTTTCTGATGCCATTTTCAATTTATGCATTCTGGAGAGATTTTTGAGATTTTATCACAAAAAGATGCTCATATCAACATATTATCTGAAAAAGAAGGAAGCGTATACAAGTTATGTCCACAGACTATTTGGCAGATGAAGTTGATGTAAAAAGTATACTTAATAAGTAATGTGAAAATGGAGCTAAGAAAAAACACATAATTTGCAGACAAATCTCTAAAAATTGTCAACTGCATTAAAATGGCTCTAGAAATACAGATTAGGGCTGTAATTTTACTTACATTTAATTAGTGAGTTGACTGCAATTATTGCAGCTGGTTAGAAAAAAAAGAGAAGGGATACAAAAATTCCCAAACTGGGAACTGCATATGAGCATTTATTTCTTCATATAACATGCACATCTACATCCATTCCTTATTGGCAGGAAACCATCAATCTGACTTCACTAGTTGGCTAATTAGACTCCTTTCTATTTTGTGGTTTGTATCCTTTATGAGTGGTCCTCGACTTAAAACCACAATGGAGCCCAACATTTCTGTTGTCAAGTGAGACATTTGTTACGTGACTTTTGCCTCATTTTACAATCTTTATTGCCACAATTGTTAAGTGAATCGCTGCAGTTGATAAATTAGTAATCCAGTTGTTAAATGAATCTGATTTCCTCATTGACTTTGCTTGTCAGAAGGTCAAAGAAGGTGATCACTGATCCTTGAGTCAAAGCAACAGTAAATATAAACTAGTTGCCAAGCATCTGAATTTTGATCACATGATCATGGGGATGCTGCAATGAGAAAAACGGTCATAAGTCACTTTTTTCAGTGTTGTTGTAACTTTGAACAGTCACTAAATGAACTGCTGTAAATCGAGGAATACCTATATAGCCAAGCACTGCAGAAATAGTCATAAAGCATAAGGTAAGATAAATGAAAAATGAACAAAAGAAGATTACTGGTACACTTGCAAATATAAGAGTTTGAGCAGCCTGTAAATGCATACAAAATCCCTAAAAAAAAAACTGGTTTGGCTTCAAGATTTCACAACATTTATTTTTAAGTAGAAGTTCACAACTGACAAAAACTTTTCTTTAGGAGAATCTCACATGAAACTAACCAGCCTTAAGGATGCTAATTTAACCCAATCAAAATAAATTTTCTTTTTCTTCTGGTTTATAGCCTAATGTCTTATCCTTATATTTTGTATACAGAATAGTGTATATTCTTTATATAGAGTTAAAATTCTAGAACTGCCAAATTCTGTCTTCAAACATTTCTAAAGGAGACGAAATCTTTGTAAGCAGGAATAATTACTTCTACGTGCTAGTAGCGCCGATATAACCTTAGATTAGAATTTTATTTTTATAAGGTATTATGCTTTCTTTTCACAATCACTACTGTATTTTTACTCAACAAAATATTTACTTATATCTCTGATTTGAAAACATTTTAAAAATTATTTCAAATCAGAGTTTGAACTGTACTTTGTGGTATACATGCCATTTCTGAAATTTCACTAGTTTCTATAACAAACTAGAACAACAAAGGAACTGTCTTCCTTGGGTGACATGTAATCTTCTGACTGGAAAAATGGCTGATTGAAAATGACTCCTTGGCACAGAATAATTGAAATGATTTTTTTCAATTTATTGAATTTTATTGTAATTCCTTTGTAATCGGCCACTGAAGGAGAGTTGGGCAGTGTACAAGTTTAATATTATTTAATAATATTATTTACTATTACTACCTCTATTACTCTTTTTTAGCTATTCTAGGCAGCTTCCTTTTGTCAATAAAATTAGTGTAGAAACTAAGAGTAAAATATCAATGAAGATTCTCGGTCATCCAAGTAGACTTATCTGAAAGTGGAACCATGGTAACTGGACTTTTTTCGTTTTTGGTTTGAAACATTTTGCTGCTTATGCAAGTAGCTTCTTCAGTCTGACTTCAGTTCTTCAGACTGAAGAAACTACTTGGATAAGCAGCAAAATGTTTCAAACCAAAAAAAGAAAAGTCTAGTTGCCATGATTCAGCTTCCAGATAAAAGTAAAATGGTTCTATATAATTAAACTACTAAACATATTTATCTGCTGAAGAGGGTATTGAGATCTTAGCATCTCTACTTAAAGTAAATTAACTTGGAGGAATCAAATAAACTTTCAAGTTTATTGCCAGGAATATATAACACTATTCTAGTATGGATGATCTGAGTGGTCCAGATCAGGCTTTTCTACTGATAAAGACATTCAGGAGCAGTAAAAGCATACAGGCAGCAATCTTTTTAAATATTTTATTTCATTAAAATAAAATTGCTCTAATGTGGGCATTATTTTCAATAAACTAGAATTTCTCCAGGCACATAAGCTTACTGTTTCCAGGTAATCCTTACTTACCGATTACAATGGAGACCGGCATCTCTATCACTAAATGGTGGCCTTATTAAGCTTGACATCATGTGACTTGTGACTTTCTGTTGGCTTTCCCATTGACTTTGCTTCTCAAGAGCCTGCTGTGAAGGTTGCAGTGGGTGATCATCTGATCACAGGAAGCTGCAATAGTCTGAACTTTGAGGACCAGTCCTAAGTCTCACTTTTCAGTGTGTCTAACTTTGAACGGCCGCTGAACAAGTGATCAGTAGCAACAACTTACCTGAACAGTCTTCATGAATACAGAATCAAATGTAACCCCCCCCCCAATGCCGTGGCCGTCATTGTAATTGCAACATGAGAAAACTCATTAAATTAATACCTTTAAATCCAGGTAGTCCCCAACTTATGACTGGTGATTTAATGACTGTTCAAAGTTATGATGACCTCAAAAAGTGTGTTTTACAGTCTATAAAGCTCTTCTGGTTGTCATAAACATTGTGCTTTCTCCCCCATGCCATGGACATATGACTGCATTTTGGACACTTGGAAAATGGCTAACTTACTGTAGTTGCAGTGTCCCATGGTCACGTGACTACAATTTGTGACTCTTTTGATGGTTTCTGGCCCAAAACACCCATCAGGAGAGTTCCACTTCCACCACATGATTCATTTAACAATCAGCATAAAAACAGTTATAAAATCATCTTGTCACATAGGTGCTGCTTCAACTTACAATAGTCATGACTTACAACTGAAATTCCAGTCCCAATTTTTGTCATAAGTTGAGAACTACCTGTACATGACTAGGGATCAAATTTAACATTACAACTGAATTAAGCCATAGAAAATAAATCTCCATATAGAAAAAAGATTTTATACTTTATATTTCTAGTAAGGGGGAAAAATGAAGGCTATAACTATTTCCTAATATACACTGTTAATATCAAGTGTCATTATCTCAGCCAAACATTACTATATTAGGATAAAGCAAGCAAGCAAGCAGTCAGTGGTATGATCAAATTCACACAGCACAATTGTATGTCTCTTTATATGTGTGTCTTCAAAGGTGATTGACACTAAGGAGTGTGAAATCCATCTGGCTACTGCATTACAGCCTCACATATTGCATTTTCTCTATTCTTTTAAAGAATCTGAAACTACTTGAAGAATAAGGTATAAGATATTTTTCAACAATTACTCCAGACAAGCTTCACTGTTGAAATAGTTTAAATTTATTGCATAAGATTATCCCTTTGTCCAAAAGAGGGAAGTGAGACTCTTTAACTTGTAAGAGGCATTTGTTTGTTATCATGGATTTATTTTTTTCAAGTGATAAAATAGGGTGTGGAAAGAATTCTAAATATTGCAACACATATATTAATCTCAAAAGCCATTTTAGTATAGTAATTAAAGAAACCAGGCTACAACTAGGAGACTGAGTTCTAGTCTCACCTTAAGCACGAAGTGGCTTTGGTCAGGTGTCTTTGGTCAGTCACTTCTCTCAGCTGTAAGAAGATGGCACTGGCTAATCACTTCTAAAACTACTGCTAAGAAAGTTGCAGGGACTTGTGCAGGCAATCACCCAATGTCAATACTGATTCAAACACAGAGACCCAAATCTCTACTTCCAACACCTTACATTGATTATCTCATCTTTTCAGTGTTTTCAAATGTACATTTTGTAATGTAATTTTATTTAAAAAAAAATATTATGCAAAGAATTGCAGGAGCCCATGAGATCCAAAAGATGGACTTCACCAATTACTGGTTATATCAATTTGGCCTCTCACTCATGGAAAGCTCCCTGATCCAACTAAAAATTCCATAAATGGAAGGAACAGAAATTATTTTAGTTGATTACTACTTCCCTGAGCAGTTCGCCAGAGTTTCTCCTCTCCCAAGTTAACCAAGAACACTGATGACTACTGAGTTTTACCATATAAATTTACATATACGTTTACATTCATGAAAAAAAATTATTCGAAATAAAATATCTTCTACTTATGTTGAAGTCAGCATATGATTTATTACAAGAAGTATTTGCCTTCCATAGTCACAGCATGCTTTGCCTTCCAAAGCATGCAGTTGCTTAAAGACTCTATGCACACTAGTGATTCACCAAAGCTTTTCTCTGACCTCTCCTTATCGTGATTATCAAGCAATATGAATTTTAAATAAAATGTGGTATTTGTAAATAAAGGCTTCTGTGTTTGGCAGATGAGATTCAAAAACCTCCCTCAGAAATGCTTTCTGTCATAAATATGCAAAGATTTTGAAGCCATGCTGCAGTTTCTATTTCAACTGGACCAACGTCTGCTTAACATAATTTTTTATAGCAACATGCAATGTAGAAGGCTAAGGCTTCATTCACTCTATGTAAACTAACTGTAGGAATACAACAATTCTGGATGCAAATTAAGACCATCCTGTGTTGTGCACCTTCAAATAATAACAAGAAACAAATGTTTGGCTTTTCCTCATGCTTCTTTTTACCTAGAAATGTCTTATATGGCTCATTCCAGCCATGTTCAGTTAAAGGAACACATCAAATGAAACCATGATTTATTTGAATCATGGTTTCTTGAACAAGCTATATAATATGGAGA